CCCATTTTAACTCTATTTCCCCCCCTTTTTAAATTGTGTTTTTTTCCCCCATTTAAATTGTGTTTTTTCCCCTTTTTAATTGTGTTTTTTCCCCTTTTAGCTCTATATTCCCCCCCCCCCTTTTAGCTCTATATTCCCCCCCCTTTTAATTCTATTTTTCTCTTTTAATTTTTAATTTTTTTTTCCCATTTAAACTCTTGGAGCAGGAGGTTTTGGGGCTGTCCTGTAGGAATTTTAATTTTTGCCCTCTCCCCAGGAAGTTTTGGAGTGGGATTGGGAATTCCCCAGCACATCCCGGTTTACACTGGATTGTTTAAAATGAGAATTTTGTTTCCCAATTATTAACTGGGAGAAAAATGTTAAATGGGAAATAATAACTGGGAAACAAATATACTAACTGGGAAATAATAACGCTGAAACAAATAATAACTGGGGAAAAATATTAACTGGGAAATACTGACTGGGAAACAAATATTGAGTGAGAAATATTAACTGGGGCAAAAAATAACTAGGAGAAAAATGTTAACTGGGAAATAATAATTCTTGAGCAAATCTTAACTGGGAAATAGTAACTGAAACAAATATTGAGAGGGAAATAATAACTGGGGGAAACAAATTAATTGGGAAACAAATATTGAGTGAGAAATACTAACTTGGAAAAATAGCTGGGAGAAAAATATTAACAGGGAAATATTAACTGAGGAACAAATATTAACTGGGAAATAAAAGCTCTGAAACAAATACTAACTGGGAAATTATAACTGGGGGAGAAAATAACTGGGAAATATTAACTAGGAAACAAATATTGAGTGGGAAATATTAAATGGGGAAAAAACAACTGGGAGAAAAATGTTAACTGGGAACTAATAACTCTGAAACAAATATTAACTGGGAAATAATAACTCTGAAACAAATATTAACTGGGAAATAATAACTGGGAGATGAATATTGAGTGGGAAAAGTGAAATTTCTGATCAGGACCAAGAGTTTGACTCATTTGGTAATTTTTTTTGCTACTTACCCTATTGGTTAGAAGGTGCTTGTGTGTGAATGTGCAAGAGTTTTCTTTTATAGGTGTTTACTATTTTTTTTGTGGATGTTTATGGGCTGGAGTTATTGTTTATTATTATTTATTTTGTTATTACAGGCGTAACTTATTTTTCTTGACAAGAAGGGGTTGTTACATAAACTGATTCTCATTCTTTAGATTCTTTTTTATGGGAATTATCTAACTGCACTCAGCTGGAGTAGCAGGCCTCAACCACAATTTTATATTTTTCTTTTATAATATTTTTATTTGGATGTAACATTACCCTGCCTTCCAATTGAATTTCCTGTGTGACTTTTCCCTGTGGGAACACCTGAGGGTTTCAGGAGCTTTGTTGGGCTGTGCTGAGCACAGGGAAGGTGGTTCTTTCCTTGGGCTCCCACATTTCTGGGCTCTCCCAAGGAATTTGGGAGGAATTTCTGGGCTCTCCCAAGGAATTTGGGAGGAATTTGCAGGTTTGAGCGGGCTGGGCAAAGCAAGGGAAAAATCACACAGTAAATTAAATTTTAAGGCAGGATGATGATGAAGTAGGAGCAACCCCATTCCCCCAAATCCAACCCTTCACCCCCCAGCCCCAGCTTGCCTCTGGATCCCCAGATGTTGATTTTTTTTTATATTGAAATTTAAGTTTTAAATATTGAGGGATGTCCCTGGAGGAAATATTATTCACTTGGGAGCATGGAGCTGATAAGGAAAACACCTCTCCAAGAGGAAAGGCAGAGTGTGGATGCAATTTGTGATGATTAAAGTAGGAAAAAAGGGTTTTAATTCTATTTCATCTGTGCACCAAGATAAAATTTATCTACAGCCATGACAGGCTCAGGAGCAGGGAAAGCAGGAAGAGGAGGGGGAAAATGAAATAATCACCCTCAGCTTGGATTTTTATTTGGTTTGGTTGTGAGGAGTGTTCAGAGCTGGATTTGAGCAGCCTCAAATCTTTTTTTCCATGTAGGAAAAGCTGATTTTTTCATTTATAAACCTTACATTGATGTAGTTTTTAAAGACTTTGTGTTTAACTCGAATTGGCTGGTAATTTTTTTGCCATTTATTCTCTTGGTTGGAAGGTACTTTGTGTGTGAATGTGCAAAACTTTTTATTTTTGTAGGTGTTTACATTTTTTTGTGGGTTCTTATGGGACAGATCTTTTGTTATGACAGGTGTAACTTATTTTTCTTGACCAGAATGGGTTGTTATGTAAACTGGTTGTCATTCTTTAGATTCTTTCTTATGGGAATTATCCAACTGCCCTCAGCTGAAGTAGCAGGCCTGAAACACAATTTTGTACGGTCTTTCTTATAGAATATTTTTGTAGGTATTTAATGTAATGTAAATCAATAATAAATGCATAAATATATATATGTGTGTATATTATATTATTATATAATAGATATTATATTATAGATTATAATACATAATACATATATAATATATATATTATATAATATATAATGCATATATTATATATTATATAATACATATAATATATTATAATATTATATATAATATTATAATATAATATATTCTAAAATAGTCCAATATATAGTATATTATGTAATACATAATATTATATCTTATATATTATAAATAAATGTAAATAAAATATGTCTGCAAATAATGTAATTATTTGTGGGTAACATCATCCTGCCTTAAAATGGAATTCACTGTGTGATTTTTCCCTTGCTTTACCCAGCCCCCTCAAACCTGCAAATTCCTCCCAAATTCCTTGGGAGAGCCCAGAAATGTGGGAGCCCAAGGAAAGAACGACCTTCCCTGTGCTCAGCACAGCCCAACAAAGCTCCTGAAACCCTCAGGTGTTCCCACATGGAGAAGTCACACAGGAAATTCAATTTGAAGGCGGGGTAATGTTACATCCAAATAAAAATATTATAAAATAAAAATATAAAATTGTGGTTGAGGTCTGCTACTCCAGCTGAGTGCAGTTAGATAATTCCCATAAGAAAGAATCTGAGGAATGAGAATCAGTTTTCAGGAATAAAGCAGAGCAAGTGTCAGAGATTTAAACCATAAATTGTGTTTCTGAGGTGGAATTCTTATGGATGGCAGGAAAAAAGGATTTTCGAGGTGGATGATGCTGGGTTTGGAGAGGTTTTTGTGGCTGCAGTGAGATCAGCCAGCTGTGGTGGTGCAGCCTGCAGCTGTTCTGGCAGCCCTGGAATCTCCAGCCTGGAGAATTCCATGTGGAATTCCCGTGGCTCAGGGTTCTGGAGAAGGTTTGGTTGCTTTCTTGGTGGAGAAGGTTTGGTTGGTCTTGGTGGAGAAGGTTTGGTTGGTCTTGGTGGAGAAGGTTTGATTGGTCTTGGTGGAGAAGGTTTGATTGGTCTTGGTGGAGAAGGTTTGGATTGCTCTTGGTGGAGAAGGTTTGGATTGCTCTTGGTGGAGAAGGTTTGGATTGCTCTTGGTGGAGAAGGTTTGGATTGCTCTTGGTGGAGAAGGTTTGGATTGCTCTTGGTGGAGAAGGTTTGGATTGCTCTTGGTGGAGAAGGTTTGGCTTCTTCTTGGTGGAGAAGGTTTGGTCGCTCTCTTGGTGGAGCAGGTGGGGTTGCCCTTGGTGGAGAAGGTCGGGTTGATTTTTATAAGTCTGAGTCTTGCCAGGACAGGTCTTGGGGAGCTTCAGCCCCAAAAGCACCTGGCAGGGAGCTGGAGGAGCAAATCCCAACCTCCGCTAGCCCCTGCTCCCAAAAAACTGGGAATTTTCCTGTGCCAGGGACTCAGAGCTCCTGGGAAATGCCAGCCCTGGGATTGTCCCCACAAGCTGTGTCACTCTGCCTGGTGACTCCCAGAGAGGGGAAAATGAGGATTTTTGGGAAACGGAGAAGGAGCTCTACATTTGGAGAGGGGTGCTGAGAGCAATTCCCCCCAAATATTGACTGGGAAATATAATTAGCTGGGAAATACTGGCTGGGAAACAAATATTGAGTGGGAAATATTAATTATGAAATATTGACTGTGAAACAATTAACTGTGAAAAAAATTAAATGTGCAAAAGGATATTAACTGGGAAATGAATGCTAACTGGGAAACAAATATTGAGTGAGAAATATTAACTGGGAAACAAATATTAACTGTGACACAAATATTGAGTGAGAAATATTAACTGGGGATAAAAATGTTAACTGGGAAATATTAACTGGGAACCAATAACTCTGAAACAAATACTAGGAAATAATAACTGGGGGGAAAATTAACTGGGAGATAAATATTAACTGGGAAACAAATATTGAGTGAAAAATATTAACTGGATAAAAAAAATAGCTGGGGAAAAAATGTTAACTGGGGGGAAAAATTAACTGGGAAATATTAATGGGGGGAAAATCAACTGGGAAATATTAATTGTAAAATAAATATTAACTGGGAAAAAAATATTGAGTGAGAAATATTGGCCGGGAAATATTAATTGGGAAATATTGACTGTGAAACAATTAACTGTGGAAAAAAATTGAATGTGAAAAAGGATATTAACTGGGAAGTAATAACTGTGAAACAAATATTAACTGGGAAATAATAACGGTGAAACAATTAACTCAATGGGAAAAGATGATAACTGTGAAACAAACATTGAGTGGAAAATAATAACTGAAACAAATACTGAGTGGGAAATATTAACTGGGAAATAAGAACTGTGAAACAATTAACCGGGAAATAATAACTGTGAAACAAATATTAAGTGGGACATAACTCAGTCCCTCACAATGGGAGGGAGTTAATAACTGTTAAATGAACAAATAAATGGCAGAAACAAATAAATGGCAGAAACAAATATCCAAAAATGTCCTGGCTGCCCCTTAATTCCGAGATTCCCTTGACTCTGGCTCTTCCCTTTTTTCACCTCATTTATGGATGGCAGCCGGCGAGGCAATGGGGAGGTTTAAGGAGGATTTATTGGAGGGGTCCCATTAATTATTGCCTTTTTCTCTGTGTTCTTCCCCCTCAGGATTGAAAAAACGCACCAGGAAGGCCTTTGGTATACGCAGGAAAGAAAAGGACACTGATTCCACGTAAGTTGATCGGAGCTCATCAGACTTTAATGAGCTTTGCAGCAGGAATTTGGGGCATCCCTTGTTGGCTTTGGCTGGAGTTTGGTCAGCAAACACATTCCAGCTGTGCCCCTGCTTGTGGAGCAAATTTGGGATTTCCTGGGAGCTCTGGGGGTGTGGGGGATTTTTGGGGACCGGTGGAAAAGGAGGATTTGGGGTTGGAGTGGATTCCTCTCTGCCTTTCGAGCTCGTTAGAGACGCAAATTCCATTTTCACGGATGTTTGTGCGGGGTTTGGTGGCTGGGGAAGGTGCAGCACAGGGATTTCACTTCCCAGAAAACATCTGGCAGGGGATTCTTCCCACATTTGGTTGGGAGATGTTGTGTGGGGGGAGCTGAGCCCAGCCTGGGGAGAATCTGGAGCCCCGGGAGAGGCTGAGGGAGCCGGGAAGGGGCCGGGGGATCCCTGAGGGAGCCGGGAAGGGGCTGGAGAATCCCTGAGGGAGCCGGGAAGGGGATGGAGATGGAGGATCCCTGAGGGAGCCGGGAAGGGGCCAGAGAATCCCTGAGGGGGCCGGGAAGGGGCTGGAGAATCCCTGAGGGAGCTGAGGGGGCTCAGCCTGGAGCAAAGGAGGCTCAGGGCCCTTCTGGCTCTGCACAGCTCCTGCCAGGTTTGGGATCTGCTCCCAGGAACAGGAGGAGAGGGAACGGCCCCAGGCTGGGCCAGGGCAGCTCAGGGTGGATATTTGGGAAAATTCCTTCATGGAAAGGTTCTCCAGCCCTGGCACAACTGCCCAGGAGTCCCCATCCCTGGAGGGAGTTAAAATCCATGTGGATGTGGCACTTGGGGACATGAGGTGGCCTTGGCAGTGCTGGGAATGGTTGGGGTTGATGATCCCAGAGGGGGTTTCCAACCCCAACAATTCCATGATTTTCAGCCACCACTACTGTGGCTTTGGGGTGGATGTCCCCAAGCGCTGTGGCCAAGGAGCCTGTGCCACCATGTCCTGGGGACAGCAGGGGACAGGCAGCAGGGAGTCCCCTCCTGCAGCTCTGCTCGGGTGTTCCGTGTCTGTCAGCAGAAATTCCGAGGTTTTGCCTTTTATTCCTTTTGGATTCGTTCCCCTGAGCTGTTCGGAGGTTTCCCATGCCAAGGGACAGGCCTGGCCAGGTGACCCTGGTGGCACTGGATCTCTGCTGCAGAGAGCCGGGGACACACGGAGCCCACCCCAAAGGAGGGATGTGCAGCCCCGAGGTGCCATCCTGCTGTCCCCGGGGATGGTGGCGGAGGGGCCGCCCCGGAGGACGCTGCAATTAGCAGCAGCAGTAATTAGTGCCGCGGGGTCACGGCGCGGTCACTGCCCCGAGGGATTTGGGTGCTCTCCAAATCCCCCCCCCCGGCAGCGCGGATGGAACCGGGAGAGGAGAGAGAGAAGAAGGGGATGGAACCGGGAGAGGAGAGAGGGAAGAAGGGGATGGAACCGGGAGAGGAGAGAACAGAGGGGATGGAACCGGGAGAGGAGAGAGGGAGGGGATGGAACCGGGAGAGGAGAGAGGGAAAGGAGGGGATGGAAGTGGGAGAGGAGAGAGAAGGAAGGGGATGGAACCAGGAGAGGAGAGAGGGAAGAAGGGGATGGAACCGGGAGAGAAGGGAAGGAATGGAACTGGAGAGGAGAGAAGGAAGGAAGGGATGGAACCAGGAGAGGAGGATAGGGATTGATGGAAGCTGGAGAGGAGAGAGGGAAGGGATGGAAGCAGTAGAAGAGGAAAGGAAGGGGATGGAAGTGGGAGAGGAGAGAACAGAGGGGATGGAACCGGGAGAGGAGAGAGAAGGATGGGGATGGAACCGGGAGCGGAGAGAGGGAAGGGATGGAAGCAGTAGAGGAGGGAAGGAAGGGGATGGAACTGGGAGCGGAGAGAAGGAAGGGGATGGAACCGGGAGAGGATGGAGCCTAAATAGGAGAGATGGGACACGGCATGGATCGATTGGGAAGCTTTTAGGGCTGGCGTTATTCCCTGTGAAACAAGGAGCTGCCAGCAGGGTTTTGGTGATGCCCCAGCCAGGTGTGAGCTGGCAGCGCAGGGAATTCCATGGATATTTGAATTCCCTAAATCCCAGCGTCCCATGACCCAGCCCGGATCCCAAATCCCATCAGCAGCTGGGGATTAGGGTCCCTGGGGAGCCTCAATCCCCTCAGCAGCCAGGTGTCTGTCCTCCTGGCAGAATGAAGGCCTGGAAATTCCTCCAGGTGGGATTTCTGTCCCCTGCAAAGGACGGGCACGGGGCAGGGATGTGGCTGTGGGATGCTGCACATCCCTAAAATTTATCAGCTGATAACACCAGGGAAAAAATTCTGTGACCTTACATGGGTACCATGAGGAGCAGGTAACTCAGATGTGCCGATAATTCCAGTTTTTGCTGCCATGAATTCAATTAAAACACAATTTCCACGAGTTAATTGGGGGTGGTCTGGGCACTAACACAGCTCCTTTTTCTGTTCTTTCCAGAGGGTCACCGGACAGGGATGGCATCGTGAGTATTGCCCAGTGTCACCTCCCCTTCCACCACCATCAGCATTTGTGGGCAGTTTTCTGTTTAATATAGAAAATAAATGTAAAAAAAAAAAAGGCAAATTCCAGGTTTCCTGTAAAAATACCAACAGAACCTTTTTATTTCCTGTAAAAATCCCAACAGAAGGAGACCTGAGGAGTGCCAGGGGCAGAGGGAGCAGGTGTCCTGCTAAAGCCCAGCTCCTCATCCTCATTTCCACCCCTGCTAATTGGCTTGGGCCAGATTTGCTGCCTGAGGAGTTCATTGCAGAGCAGCTGTTTCCAACCTCTATTTTTATTTTCTATATTAACCTGAAAACAAGGAGATGTTTGTGGTTTGTTGGGGTTTTTTGTATTTTTTTTTTTTTTTTTTTTGAATTACTGCTGCTTTTATTCCTGGTGTTAGACTGAAATGTCCCTGCTAGAGCTGGGTAGGAGATGGGCCCTGTCTCTTTTAGTGTTTGATATCAAAAATATTCTGGGTTCAGACTGGGCTTTATTTCTTCAGCAAATCCAGATTTTAGAATTTCGCCTCAAAACAAAGATGAGTCCCGTGTGAGGCTCAGCAGGGAGAGCAGTGCTGGGGTATCTTTTAAAAAAATAAAAATCTAGGGGACCAAACTGCTCCTTGCAAGAAATCACTTTAGTTTCCCCCCAGTCTGACCCAAAATCCTCAGCTTTGGGCACTCTCTCTGTTTTTAAGCTGCTTGTTAGGAAATAGAGATGAAAGTAAATGTAATGCCTTCAGCAGGGCTCTATTCAGCAGAGATAAATGAATAAATAGCAGGTTTATGCTGGATAAATTAATAAATAGCAGGTTTAAGCTGGATAAATTAATAAATAGCAGGTTTAGGCTGGATAAATTAACAAATAGCAGGTTTAGGTTGGGCATCAGGAGGAATTTCTCCACAGAAAAGGTGTTCAGGGAGGTTTGGAGTCCCCGTCCCTGGAGGTGTCCACACCTGGATGTGGCACTTGGTGACAAGGTGGGGATGGGGCACAGCTTGGGCTGGGTGATCCTGGAGGATTTTCCCAGCTTTAATTCTGTGAATATCCAGGGAACACCCCCAGGTTGTTCCCTCTTCCAGCAGGAATCCCATGGGCAGCTTTTCCTCGCCAGGTGTGGGCAGAGGGACATCAGATGTCCTCTCCAAGGATGCACAAATGCAATTTTCAGGGAATAAAACCAAGCTCCTGGAGGTGTTTGAGGCAGACGGATTGTTTATGGAGATATTTAATATAATTTTTCATCCTCCAGACCCTTTTCCACATAATTTTTGCAGCCACTGGAGTGGCCAAGAGGCAAAGCTTGACTGCTGAATAGAGCCCACAGGAAAATCCACCTTCAATCCTGGTGGAGCCACAGCTGAGCCTTCCTTTCCTGACAAATCTGTGTTCCCTAGTTCCTAAAACTTTGTTTTGTGCATTTGAAAAGAACCCCAAAAAAACCCAAAACCAGCCCAGGGAGCAGATATTTTAACCCTTTTTCTGCCACCCCCACCCTTGCAGCAGCCCAGCCCTCATCCCAATGATCCAACTTCCAATAGCAAAGCCGAGGGCACGCAGGAAGGAGGAAATAAAAACGGGGTAAGGAAAACTGAGCTCGGCTCCCACAGGGCTGGGAAAACAGGGAGCCATCCTTGGTTTGGAATGCAGAGTGTAGGAAAAACCCTTTAGGGTCAGCCAGGCCGGTGGAAATAGGGTTAAATAAAAGCGGAGAGGGGAAAAGCAGGAATTCCCTGGAACAGCACCTAGAATTCCCCCAGAACAGAATCCAGAGTGGTTTCTGCCACAGAACAGAATCCAGAGGAGGTTTTCCCACAGAACAGAATCCAGAGTGGGTTTTTCCCCAGAACAGAATCCAGGGAGGGTTTTCCCCACAGAACAGAATCCAGGGTGGGTTTCCCCACAGAACAGAATCCAGGGTGGGTTTTCCCCCAGAACAGAATCCAGAGTGGGTTTCCCCCCAGAACAGAATCCAGAGGAGGTTTTCTCACAGAATCCAGAGTGGGTTTCCCCCCAGAACAGAATCCAGAGTGGGTTTCCCCCCAGAACAGAATCCAGAGTGGGTTTTCCCCCCAGAACAGAATCCAGAGTGGGTTTTCCCCCCAGAACAGAATCCAGAGGAGGTTTTCCCCCAGAACAGAATCCAGGGGAGGTTTTCCCACAGAACAGAATCCAGAGTGGGTTTTCCCCACAGAACAGAATCCAGGGTGGGTTTTCCCCACAGAACAGAATCCAGGGTGGGTTTTCCCCACAGAACAGAATCCAGGGTGGGTTTTCCCCACAGAACAGAATCCAGGGTGGGTTTTCCCCACAGAACAGAATCCAGGGTGGGTTTTCCCCACAGAACAGAATCCAGGGTGGGTTTCCCCACAGAACAGAATCCAGGGTGGGTTTTTCCCCAGAACAGAATCCAGAGTGGGTTTTTCCCCAGAACAGAATCCAGAGTGGGTTTTTCCCCATAACAGAATCCAGAGTGGGTTTTCCCCACAGAACAGAATCCAGGGTGGGTTTTCCCCCAGAACAGAATCCAGGGTGGGTTTTGACACAGAATCCAGAGGAGATTTTCCCTACAGAACAGAATCCAGAGGAGATTTTCCCTACAGAACAGAATCCAGAGATTTTCCCTACAGAACAGAATCCAGAGTGGGTTTTCCCCACAGAACAGAATCCAGAGTGGGTTTTCCCTACAGAACAGAATCCAGAGTGGGTTTTCCCTACAGATCAGAATCCAGGGTGGGTTTTCCCCCAGAACAGAATCCAGAGTGGGTTTTCCCCCAGCTGAGCTTCCAAGGAAGCTGCTCCATGCGGAGGTGAGGGGCTGCATCCAGCCCTGGGTCAGGGAGTGCCTCCTGCCAGACCCTTGGCAGGGAGCTGGGATGGGAATGGTCCCTCTGGAAGCTCAAGGCAGCTATCCCATGGGATGATCCCATTTAAGTGCCAAAATCGTGGTGACCATGGGAGTTTGGATGGGTTTGGGTGCCCAGAGTCAACCAGCAAAGGGTTCCAGAGGTGGTGGATGCCCAGAGCCTCTTCCAAACCGGAATTTGGGAATTCCCTCGATCCCAAGCAGCAGTTCCTGTGTGTGTTGGTGTTTCATGGCACGGACTCATCCCACTGCTCCATCCTGAATTCACCACGCCTGGCACGCGGGATAACGGGATCTGAAGCCTTCTTGGGATTGCCCTTTCTTGGGGAAGGGGTTTTATCTCCCAGGAAATATTTCTTGAGAAGTTTCCCTGCTTGACTGGCATTGGGAGCTCCCCCAGGGCTGGAAGATCCCAGCACGGAGGAGAAACGGCCCTTTCCTCACTTTTCCCCTAAGGAATGTTTAGATGCCCTCCTAAGGAATATTCAAAAAATTCCCTCCTTTCATCTCTCTGGGATGGGAGAGTTCCAGAGATGGGGAATGCTGTTGGATTTCTGGTGTGGGTGTGGAATAACAGCAGCAGCCTCTCTGGGATGTGCTGTGCTCCTGCTTCCTCCATTTAAACCATGGGAATTTTCCTTTCCAGAAGAAAACCAACGGAGCCCCAAATGGATTTTATGCAGAGATCGACTGGGACAGATACGTAAGTGTCCCCTGGAGCTGCCCTGCCTCCAGCTGCATCCCATGGGAATCCCTGGCACTTCCCACACTCATTTTGGGCTTTTTGGATTAAATCAGCTCAATCCAGACCCCAATTCCATACCTTCAGGCCAGCCAGAATTCCCAGGAATGAGGTGGCCCTGGAGAGCTCTGTCCTGGCCCATGGGATGTTGCAGTTTAGCCAGAGAAAACTTTGAATTACAAACAAGGATTAAAGCTTTTCCTTCTACAAAATGAATCCTGGGATTTGAGGTGCCCTTTGCTCTGTGTGGCCCCAGGGGGCTGGGCTGTGCAGGACATCCTTTCCCACAGGAGGAAAGAGCTGTTCCAGCTTCCCAGGAATTAATGGTCATCATTTTCCTGTTTTTTTGTGGGTTTTTTTGGTTCATTATCCAGAACTCACCTGAGCTGGATGAGGAGGGATACAGCATCCGACCCGAGGAACCAGGATATATCCTTTGGTTTTGGCTTTGCCTCTTGGGTTCCAGGCTGCAGCAGGAGCTGGGGTTCACAGGCAGGCCACTGGCTCTTTGCATGTCATTGTTGTTATTCTTTATTATTAATTAGAATTATTTATTTCCACCTCCTGGTTTTAATTTGAAGCTGACTCTCCACAGTTAAGGCTGAATTCCTGAGGGAATTACCTGGGACATTTGAACTGTTTTTGATTCACTGCTGTGAAATGGGGAGTGGGGGAACATCCCATGGGATGCTCCATGGAGACCAAAATGTCCATGATTATCCCGGAAAAAAGGAGGATCAGGGAGGAGCTTCTGGTTCGTGACAAGGAGGGTGGAGCCAGGACAGGAGGAGGGGGAATGGCCTCAAATTCCAGGGGAGGTTTAGGTTGGATATTGGGAAAATCTCTTCATGGAAAAGGAACAGCTGCCCAGGGCAGTGGTGGGGCTGTGCAGTTTAACTCTGGAGGGATTTAAAATCCATGTGGATGTGGCACTTGGGGACACGGGGCAGCACTGGGGGATGGCTGGGCCCGATTGTCTCCTAGGGCTTTTCCAACCTGAGCAATTCCATGAAATCCAGACTCGGGTACAACCCTTGGGCTGGATGTATCCCTGAGAGCAGGGATGCAGCAGTGACAGCCCCATTTTGGGGTCAGCGCTTGGGGACCGCCAGATTCCCCCTCTCTGGCGAGCCTGGGGAGCACCGAGGCACGGAAATTCCTTAACTGTGCTGTACCTACCAAAGGAAAGCACTTCTACTCCTCCAGCGAGTCGGAGGAGGAGGAGGAGGCGCACAAGAAATTCAACATCAAGATCAAACCCCTGCAGGCCAAGGACGTCCTGCGCAGCGCCGCCACCGTGGACGAGCTCAAGGCCTCCATAGGCAACATTGCACTTTCTCCATCCCCCGTGGTGAGTCCCGCCCATTTTTTCCCGCCCATTTTTTCCCGCCCATTTTTTCCCGCCCATTTTTTCCCGCCCATTTTTCCCGCCCATTTTTCCCGCCCATTTTTTCCCGCCCATTTTTTCCCGCCCATTTTTTCCCGCCCATTTTTTCCCGCCCATTTTTTTCCCGCCCATTTTTTCCCGCCCATTTTTTCCCGCCCATTTTTTCCCGCCCATTTTTTCCCGCCCATTTTTTTCCCGCCCATTTTTTTCCCGCCCATTTTTTTCCCGCCCATTTTTTTCCCCGCCCATTTTTTTCCCCGCCCATTTTTTCCCGCCCATTTTTTCCCGCCCATTTTTTCCCCCCCCTTTTTTTCCCGCCCATTTTTTCCCGCCCTTTTTTTCCCGCCCATTTTTTTCCCGCCCATTTTTTTCCCGCCCATTTTTTTCCCGCCCATTTTTTTTCCCGCCCATTTTTTTCCCGCCCATTTTTTTCCCGCCCATTTTTTTCCCGCCCATTTTTTCCCGCCCATTTTTTTCCCGCCCATTTTTTTCCCGCCCATTTTTTCCCGCCCATTTTTTTCCCGCCCATTTTTTTCCCGCCCATTTTTTTCCCGCCCATTTTTTCCCGCCCATTTTTTGCCGCCCATTTTTTCCCGCCCATTTTTTCCCGCCCATTTTTTCCCGCCCATTTTTTCCCCCCCCTTTTTTCCCGCCCATTTTTTTCCCGCCCATTTTTTTCCCGCCCATTTTTTTCCCGCCCATTTTTTCCCGCCCATTTTTTCCCGCCCATTTTTTCCCGCCCATTTTTTCCCGCCCATTTTTTCCCGCCCATTTTTTCCCGCCCATTTTTTCCCGCCCATTTTTTCCCGCCCATTTTTTCCCGCCCATTTTTTCCCGCCCATTTTTTCCCGCCCATTTTTTTCCCGCCCATTTTTTCCCGCCCATTTTTTCCCGCCCATTTTTTCCCGCCCATTTTTTCCCGCCCATTTTTTTCCCGCCCATTTTTTCCCGCCCATTTTTTCCCGCCCATTTTTCCCGCCCATTTTTTTCCCGCCCATTTTTTCCCGCCCATTTTTTCCCGCCCATTTTTTCCCGCCCATTTTTTCCCGCCCATTTTTCCCCCCCTTTTTTTTCCCGCCCATTTTTCCCGCCCATTTTTTCCCGCCCATTTTTTCCCCCCCCTTTTTTTCCCGCCCATTTTTTTCCCGCCCATTTTTTTCCCGCCCATTTTTTCCCGCCCATTTTTTTCCCGCCCATTTTTTCCCGCCCATTTTTTCCCGCCCATTTTTTCCCGCCCATTTTTTCCCCGCCCATTTTTTTCCCGCCCATTTTTTCCCGCCCTTTTTTCCCCCCCTTTTTTTCCCCCCCTTTTTTTCCCGCCCATTTTTTTCCGCCCATTTTTTTCCCGCCCATTTTTTCCCGCCCATTTTTCCCGCCCATTTTTCCCGCCCATTTTCCCCGCCCATTTTTCCCGCCCATTTTTCCCGCCCATTTTCCCCGCCCATTTTCCCCGCCCTTTTTCCCCGCCCTTTTTCCCCGCCCTTTTTCCCCGCCCTTTTTCCCCGCCCTTTTTCCCCGCCCTTTTTCCCCGCCCTTTTTCCCCGCCCTTTTTCCCCGCCCTTTTTCCCCGCCCTTTTTCCCCGCCCTTTTTCCCCGCCCTTTTTCCCCGCCCTTTTTCCCCGCCCTTTTTCCCCGCCCTTTTTTCCCGCCCTTTTTTCCCGCCCTTTTTTCCCGCCCTTTTTTCCCGCCCTTTTTTCCCGCCCTTTTTTCCCGCCCTTTTTTCCCGCCCTTTTTTCCCGCCCTTTTTTCCCCGCCCTTTTTTTTCCCGCCCTTTTTTTTCCCGCCCTTTTTTTCCCGCCCATTTTTTCCCGCCCATTTTTTCCCGCCCATTTTTCCCCGCCCATTTTTCCCCGCCCATTTTTCCCCGCCCATTTTTCCCCGCCCATTTTTCCCCGCCCATTTTTTCCCGCCCATTTTTTCCCGCCCATTTTTTCCCGCCCATTTTTTTCCCCGCCCATTTTTTTTCCCGCCCATTTTTTTTCCCGCCCATTTTCCCCTGTCCCTTAACTGGGAATGGCCAGCAGCACCTGTCCTGATAAAACAATGGAATTTTTCATGTAAAATGGCTCAGACACAAATTCCTAAACGCTCCCTCTCCTTCCTGTCTCCCACGTGAGGGGTGAAGCTGCAGCACTCCTGTCCCTCTGCTTTGTCTTTAACCAGACACAAATCTTTGCTTCCTCTTTATAAAAAAATCCCTCACCTTCTCATTCCTTCTGTTTTTTCTCTCTCTCTGCCTTCTTTTAGAGGAAAAGTCCGGTAAGAAATGTAATTTTTATCTCCTGGAATATTTTAAGCCAGCTTTGTGTGCGCTCTTGTCCTGTCTCTAGAGCTAAAATGCCAAAAGCAAATAACAAATCCTGCCCTTCTAGAAAGAAGTTTAATTTCCTTTATCGCTGACTCAGAAGGTTTTAAAATAGAATGTGTAAAATTAGAGCTGGCCTTGGCTCTGAGCGTGCTTTGGGGATGTAGTTTGGGTCCAAGAATTTGAACAAGGTGTGTAAGTGTTGGAATCTGTGGGTATTGATGATTCTGAGATTGTAGAAAGTCTCTGTCTGTCAGCCCCGCTGCCAAAGCAGAACCATAATTGGTCTGTGCTGTTTCAAGGTTGTTTATTCTGTTTATCTCTAACATGTTCTGCTGCCCTGCCGCAGCTCTGTCCTGCAGGGCAGCGTGTGGGGCTCTGCCCTCAGTGGGATGGTACAAACATTAAATACCACAAACTACCTGTGCTGGATTTACAATAACGTGCCAATATCTGTCACCTACGTTGGACAGTGTGTCCCCAGCCTGAACCAACAGAAAAATGCCAACACCACAGTGAAACATGGAGGGCATGAAGAAGGAGAAAAAGGACAAGGCACACCCAATTCCCTCCATCTTGTCCCCTCTGAACCCCTCATCTAGAATCCTAAAATTTTACTTTTGCACCCGTGCCACACTTAATTATTGCTTATATCAAACCCTCAGAGCTTGTAATTCATCCTGTAAGATTGAAAACTCTTTTCCATGGACAGAGATCACAGCCAGTGTCTCTGGGGGCTCTGTCCAGGGGGGTTCCTGACCCCTGCCAGGGTCCCAGGGCAGCCAGAGGGAAGCCCTGGATTCCCACATATAAGGGCTCGGTTTTACTTGGATTATGGCACATCCAAAGTGAGGAGGAGGCAGGAAAATATTAATTTATACACATCCCTGGTGCCATTGGGGTTTCTCCAAGAGAACTCAGCTTCCAGTGGGGAAATCCCCCCATTTCCCAGGATTTGGGTTCCCCTGGGGGGCTCTCCCAGGGTGACCCACGAGGTGTGGTGACAGTGGGGACCCTGGGGTGCTGATGTGTCACTCTCTGACCAGGTGTCTCTTCTCTCCCCCTCTCGCTGACCGCAGCGGCGCAGCCCGGTAAGAGCCCTGGGGTGGGGATGGGGACGTGGAGGGGTGCTGAGCTCTGGGGTGGGGACAGGGCATGGGGACAGCTGCCACACCCTCTGTGCCACCCCAGTGATGGTGGGACCTCGCTGCCCGTGGCAGGGGAGGGTCCCCGTTCCCAGAGGGATTTACAGCCCTGGGGATGTGGCACTGGGGACAGCAGAGCTCTGTGCAGCTCAGGGATTTTCTGTCGGGTTTTCTGCTCCCCGGAGCTCAGGCACCTGCAGGAAATGTCCCCTCAGGCAGCTCCTGCCACCTCTGCTGGGCTTTGCTCCTGGGGTGACAATGCCATGCACCCCTGTCCCTGAGCATCCCACTTATTCCTGTGCTTCTCCTTCCAGGGGACGATGAAAAGGAATTTATCCAGTAAGTATCTCCTGGAGTCTGTACAAACAGCACCCGTTGCACCTGCTGGAGGGGGTTTGGGGAGTGAGTTAAATTTGGTTTAAAGTGCTCCTGGCAGAGCTGGTGGCTCCCAAAAGTTTTCCCTGGAGAAGGTGTGGGTGGCACCCTTGGGACACCTGTAGCAGTGCAGCTCCCTGCCTGAGCTCTGTACAGAAATAAATCAGAATTAAAAGCAGAATTTTCCTGCTGGGATCTGTGCACAGCAGGGTGGGTGGGACACACACCAGGTGTGACCCCCCTGCTGCCAGCACGGGGCTGGGGGGACGCTGTGGGGTGAGGGTGACTCTGATCCGTGTGTGTCCTGTCCCAGGTGAGGAGATCACACGGCCCCGGCGCTCCACGCCCACACCAGACCCCGCCAGGTCAGTGCTTCCTTCCAAAGCTGATTTTCCCAGCTTTCCCAAAGCACAGGAACCCTGCAAGACTTGTTTTCCCCAAAACCAACCCCATCCATGCCCTGCAGCGGGTTCTTCCCAGAGATCTCCTCCTCCTCCTCCTCCTGGAGGGTCACTGCCCTCACAGCCTCATTATGTCCTGTCATTAACGCCTCCAGTTAATTCTGGCTGGGCTTGTCCCAGGCTCAAGCTCCTCACCCCATCCCTTTGGGACATCCCCACTTGCACTGGGCTTGGTGGGAAGCTGGAGGGGTTAGATGGGATTTGGGAAGGAATTGTTCCCTGGGAAGAGCTGGGATGGAATTCCTAGAGCAGCTGTGGCTGCCCCTGGATCCCTGGCAGTGCCCAAGGTCAGGTTGGACACTGGGTTTGGAGCAGCCTGGGACAGTGGGAGGTGACCCTGCCACGGCAGGGTGGCACTGGGTGGGGTTTAAACTCTTTCCAGCCAAAACCATTCCAGGATTTTGGCAGGGCTGGTGCTGGTTGGGATGCTCAGTGTCCATCCACCAAAAGCTCCAAGGACATTCCCTGCTGGAAGCCACCTTGAGCCTGATCCGTAGGGAGCTGCCCGAGCCTGGGGGGGATGTATTGATTTAGGACAGCCAACATGCAAGTTTTTATGGAATAAAGCCAAATCTCACTGGGAATGTGCCCTGTGCAGTTCCAGGGGTCATCTCAAGGTGTGTTGCACCAGAGCATGGCCCAGATGTCAAGCATTTATTTTTTAAAAATCCTTTTCCATGAAGTTTTGATGAACCCTACAGCAACTCAGTGTCCCAGCAGCTGCTGTGGCACCGCCAGCTTGTGGTGCTGCCACTCTCCTTTCCCTTTTTCCCACCTTTTCAACCCCGTGTTTGGCCAGCTCCTCGTTGGTCTGGGGGAAAAAAATCCTCAAGAACATTTTGTGCTTGCCTCGAAGCCGGGGTGGGAACACAGACCTGCCCCTCATGGCTGCCCCTCTCGCCCCACAGCAGGAAACCCGGGGAGGATCCCGCGGCGCTGGCCCCGCTCTTCGGGCCCCCGCTGGAGTCGGCCTTCGAGGAGCACAAGCTGGATGGTGAGCTTGGGGCCAGGGCTTTTGGGGCATGGCCGAGGGCTTTTGGGGCATGGCCAAGGGGTTTTGGGGCTGGGGCAAGTGACTTTGGGCCATGGCTGAGGGGTTTTGGGACATGGCAGGTGAGTTTGGGGTCAGGGCAAGTGAGTTTGGGGCCGGGGTGAGGGGTTTTGGGGCATGGCAAGTGACTTTGGGGCTGGAACAAGGACATTTGGGGCCAGGCCAAGGGCTTTTGGGGTATGGCAAGTGACTTTGGGGCTAGGAAGAAAGAGTTTGGGGACCTGGTGAGTTTGGGGCCATGGTGAGTTTGGGGACAGGGTTGAGGACCTGGTGAGCGAGTTTGGGGTCTGGACAAGGGAGTTTGGGACCATGGTGGGTCAGTTTGGGGCCGTGGTGAGTTTGGGGACAGGGTACACCCACCCTATCCCCACATTTGGGGACCTGGTGAGTGAGTTTGGGGTCTGGGTGAGCTTGGGGTCTGGACAAGGGAGTTTGGGACCAAGGTGGGTGACTTTGGGGCTGGGGCAAGGGAGTTTGGGGACCTGGTGAGTTTGGGGACAGGGTGCCCACCCTGTCCTCAAATTTCAGGACCTGGTGAGTGAGTTTGGGGTCTGGGTGAGTTTGGGGTCTGGATGAGGGAGTTTGGGGCCACGGGAAGGTTCTCCAGCCTGGCAGGGGTGGAGTCCCCGTTCCTGGAGGGATTTCACACTGGTGTGGATGTGGCACTTGGGGACAAGGTCAGGGTGGAGCTGGCAGTTCCGTGGGCTCCGAGGGCTTTTCCAAGCGGGACAATTCCCTGATTCCCAGCTCCCAGCCCTCCTGCTGGAGGAGGAACCAGCCCAGGCAGGGCCACCTTGGGGGTTAATTCGGGCTGGGTGGCAACAGAACAAGAGCTTAAGTCAATTAGTTAATTATGAAGTCTGGGAGAGATCCTGACAGGGAACAGCTCAACAATATAAAAACTCAGGATTTTCCAGCCCAGCCTTCACCCTGGAGCAGAGGGGTTTAACTCCAGCCAGGATTCTGGACAAACCCTGCACCCTTCCATGCCTAGGAAATGCCATCTCAAAAATGTCATTTTTTCCTTCCTTTAACACAGAGACACTTTGCTTCCTTCCAAAGCTGATTTTCCCAGCTTTCCCAAAGCACAGGAACCCTGCAAGACTTGTTTTCCCCAAAACCAACCCCATCCATGCCCTGCAGCGGGTTCTTCCCAGAGATCTCCTCCTCCTCCTCCTGGAGGGTCACTGCCCTCGCAGCCTCGTTATGTCCTGTCATTAACGCCTCCAGTTAATTCTTTTAATCAAAGCAATGTTTGCAAGCAGTTCTCTGCACAAAAACTCCAAGAAATCTAAATTATATACAAAAATATATATATTTCCCCCCTTTATTCCCTGGGAATACAATAATATTTTCATTTTACTACCTGATGGGTTTTTTTTAATGCATAATCTAAAATTCCAGACCACTTTGTCCATCAATTCAATGCTTTCCTTCCCAAAGTAAGCCTCCAAATCCATCCCTGGCATTGTTTTGTTTGTCAAGCAGCATAAGTGTCAAACTAATTGCATGTCCTGCTTCAGAATCAGACAGGATTTTAATTATCCACCATTACAGAACCCCCTGTCTTTAATTAATGAGGTCTCTGTCACTGTCTGGGCCCTCTTTTCCCAGAGCCTCGGTGCCTCATGCGTGTGTTTGGGTGATGGGAAGAAAACATTTGGGTTTTTCATTGCTTTCAAATGTTTATTTTTGATTTTTCAGCTGCTCTGGACCAGCCTGAGATATGGGGGTCAGTCCAACCCATCAACACAAACGCAGAGTCCCCAAAACTTCCAAGACCTTTTCCAACTGGAAGTAAGTGACCATGGAAATAAATTAATATCTCCAGAAATCAGGTCAAAGGTTTGAGCTGTCCTCATCCAGGCTGTGCAGCTCCACAATATTTTAAATTAAAGGGTTTTTTTTTCCCCTTTGTTTGGCTTGGGTGACTGTGGGGTGGAGGAGGGAGTGGGATTGATAAGGAATGGAGGGATGGGATGGATCCTGACCCTGCATGTTCATGCCGTGGTTACTTGGCTGGAAAAGCTGGAAGCACCGGTTTTTCTGGGATAACATCAGGGGGAGCAGCACAGCCCCAATCCCAGATTTTGATTGCAGCTGCGGAGCCATTTCCTCTGCAGAAATGCCCCTGTCAAGCACAGCTGGCTAATTAGCCGCTGTTAATTAACCCCAGCATGGGCACGGGAGAAAGGTGGTGGCAGCCTCGGAGGATCCAGGTTTAATTAAAATGCGAATTTAGGGGGTTAGAACAGGAGGGAAGGCTGGGATGTACAAAAAGAGGGGAAATTCCATCAAACCCAACAGAAACTGCCGGAGGGAGGGCAGGGATGGATGGGGTACTGGGAAGAATTCCTGGGATTATTGGGAAGAATTCCTGGGATTATTGGGAAGAATTCCTGGGATTATTGGGAGGAATTCCTGGGATTATTGGGAGGAATTCCTGGGATTATTGGGAAGAAATCCTGGGATTATTGGGAAGAAATCCTGGGATTATTGGGAAGAAATCCTGGGATTATCGGGAAGAAATCCTGGGATTATCGGGAAGAAATCCCGGGATTATCGGGAAGAAATCCCGGGATTATCGGGAAGAAATCCCGGGATTATCGGGAAGAAATCCCGGGATTATCGGGAAGAAATCCCGGGATTATCGGGAAGAAATCCCGGGATTATCGGGAAGAATTCCTGGGATTATCGGGAAGAATTCCTGGGATTATTGGGAAGAATTCCTGGGATTATTGGGAAGAATTCCTGGGATTATTGGGAAGAATTCCTGGGATTATTGGGAAGAAATCCTGGGATTATTGGGAAGAATTCCTGGGATATCGGGAAGAATTCCTCCTCCTTGTGAGGGTGGGGAGGGATGGGATGGATTCCCAGGGCTGCTCCTGGATCCCTGCAGTGGCCAAGGCCGGGGCGTGGAGCTCATCCCTGCCTCATGCCCTTCTCCCAGCGGTGATCCCGGGCTGTGCCGCGCTCCTGCCGCTCTGCAGCTGAATTTTCCCCCTCCCTGTGCTCTGTTCCAGCCCCTCCGCCGCTCCCCCCGAAGAACATCCCGGCCACGCCGCCGCGCACCGGCTCCCCCCTGCCCCCGGCCATCGGTAACGGCACCGGGACGGGCACCGGGGTGGGACAGGGCCAGCCCCGGCACTGGGGTGGCACTGGGAAGGGGACAGGGCCAGTTTCAGTCCTGGGATAGCACTGGGAAGGGGACAGGGCCAGTCCCACTCCTGGGATGACACTGGGAATGGGACAGGGCCATCCCCAGCTCTGAGGTGGGATATGGCCAGTCCCAGTCCTGGGATGGCACTGGGAAGGGGACAGGATCAGTTCCAGTCCTGGGAAGGGGACAGGGCCATCCCCAGCCCTGGCATGGCACTGGGAATGGGACAGAGCCAGTCCCAGTCCTGGGATGGCACTGGGAATGGAACAGGGCCAGTCCCAGTCCTGGGATGGCACTGGGAATGGCACAGGTCCCATCCCCAACTCCAGGGAGACACGTCCCCATGGCTGCATTTTGGGCATGGGTTTGGTCTCTGTCCATCCTCTTCCCTTGGAATCCAGAGAATTCCGGACTGGGCTGGGTTGGGAGGAGTTTCTGCCCTATCCAGTTCCCACCTCCCGCTGTGCCAGGCTGCTCCAAGCCCCGTCCAGCCTGGCCCTGGGCACTGCCAGGGAAGCAGGGGCAGCCCCAGCTCGGTGGTGTCTCAGTGGATGCTGCAGTAGAAGCAGCACAAAGATGTTTTTGCCCCCCAAGTCGCTCTCACCCCAGTGAAATTAATGTTCTTTACAACACCCTGCCTTTGGATCAGTCACTCTGGGAATGCAGGGCAGGATTAGCTCTGCTGAAAGCTGGGATAAATCCCCAATTCCAGACCCTGCTGTGCTGAAAGCTGGGATAAATCCCAAATTCCAGACCCTGCTGTGCTGAAAGCTGGGCTAGATCCCCAATTCCAGAGCCCTGCTGTGCTGAAAGCTGGGATAGATCCCCAATTCCAGAGCCTGCTGTGCTGAAAGCTGGGATAAATCCCCAATTCCAGAGTCCTGCTCTGCTGAAAGCTGGGATAGATCCCCAATTCCAGACCCTGCTGTGCTGAAAGCTGGGATAGATCCCCAATTCCAGAGCCCTGCTGTGCTGAAAGCTGGGCTAGATCCCCAATTCCAGAGCCCTGCTCTGCTGAAAGCTGGGATAAATCCCCAATTCCAGAGCCCTGCTCCTGCCTGGAGCAGCCCTGCACGGCCTGTGCTGAGGAAAGCAGAGGTGTGCAGGGGCTGCTGCCCCAAATCCCTGCTGAGAGGTGGGAAAAGCCTCCCTGATCCTGCAGCCCAGGGAAGGAAAAACGGTGCTGGGAATGAGGGACACCCCGAGGGCAGGGATGGAAATGTGCTGAATGCAGCCCCAGGACATCAGGTGCTTCCAAGCATATAATTCATGGTGCTGGCTGGTGGAAAAGCAGGATCTGAGCAGGGAAGGCAGAGCCTCTCAGGGTGAAACCCCTGTGCCATGAGGAGCCCCCTGCTCTGTGCATCACCCCCTCATCTGTGCTCCCAGATCCCCATTTTCCTGCTGGTGGGAGCAGCTGGGCTGGCAGCGTGTCCATGTCCATCCATCCATCCCCAGCAGCAAATGCCCCATCATCTGCTGGGCTGTGCCTTGTGTGTGTGTAAAGCAAGTGGCTGAGCTCTGGTTTTGTCTGGTTCAGCAAATTCCCGTTTTATCCCCTCCACCCTAAATGTATTTTGGGATGGAGCCCCAAAATAGAGGAGTAGGGATGGGGTGATGCTGCCACGAGGATCCCAGAGGGCATTTAGTGTTAGGCTCTCCCTTCCCTGGATGTGAAATGCTTGGTTTGTGATCTGTGGTGCTTCTGGAGTCAGGTGGGAATGTTGATGTGTGGTGGCTCAGTGAGCAGAGCCCCAAAAATCCCCATCTGTGCCCCAAAATCCCCATCTGTGCCCCAAAACCCCGACCTGTTCGTGCTTGTGGCTGGGCTGCATTCCCTGTGCCTGGAATACACTCCTGTGTGCATCCTGTGCTGCATGCCCCGGCTCCAGCAGTGTCCAACCAGCATGTCTAAATATATATATTTATACCTGAGTGTTTATAAATATATATATAGAGAGAGTGGGGCGTGCCAGAGCGCTGAGTGCACACCTTTGATACCTGCTGATAAATCAGAGCTGCTGCTAAGGACGTGATGTGGTTTAGAGGACAAAAAAGGCTGTAAATTCAGGGGGAATTTGGGATTTCTTGGCTGTGAGTGCTGGCTCCTGGTGCATGCTCCTTCCTCCAGCCTTTGGATCCCGCGGGATTCATTCCATGTCACACCTGGCTGTGCTGGAAACGTTCTTGCCCATGAATTATATAAATAGAGATGGTTTTAGCGCCTCTCCCGTAGAAGTAGAGCCCGTAGAGAGTAACACAACCCTCACTTAATGCCTGGTGTAAAATAAACCTCCTCTGACCACAGGAGGGGACCAGGCAGCAGCAGAGCCCAAACGGGACAAACCCCCGTCCATCAATGACTTGGACAGCATTTTTGGCCCCGTGCCGTCCCCTAAATCTGCTGCTGCCACCGCGGAAGACAAATGGGTCCATTTTTCCGAGCAATCCCCGGAAAACGCAGCTCCGGAATTGTCACCCCGGGACGAAGCGCCGTCCCCGGCCGAGCATCCCCACCCGCCGCCCTCGCCGCTGCAGCTCCAAGACGCTCCCAAGAAGCTTCCTGAGCATCCTCACCTTAAGGATGATCCCGCCGAGCCCATCGCAGCCTCTCCCAAAGATTTGGGGCCGGGTCAAAGAGCCACCCCGCCGCCCCCTCCGCCGCCCACCTACCGCGCGGTGGTCTCGTCCCCCGGACCGGCCGCCGGCTCGGGAAGCGCCAGCGGTACGTGCTGTGAGCTCGGCTGTGCTGCCCTGTGCCCCTGGTGACCCTCCTGCCTGGCTGTGTGGCACCAGCCAGTGTCCTGCTGCCAGCCTGTCCTGCCTTCCTTCCTTCCCTCTGCTGCCCTGGAGATGGGAGCACATCCCGAAATTCCCGCAGCGCTTTCACCCCGAATGGGGCACGGGGTTGTTGTTGGTGTTGTTGGTGTTGGTGTTGCTGTGGTGTCCTCTGTGGGGATAGAAGTGGTTCAGGTAAATCCTCTGAGCGAGCCTCAGATCCAGGGTTGGGGTGTATTTATTTATTTTTTTTTTCACACATCCCGGTAATTCCCATGTGGGAATGGTGCTCGGCTCTTCCTGGCTCTGAGCGTGGATGGGGAGATGTGTTCCAGAGCGAGCCTCTCCTCCGGGAGAAGCTGCAGGCCCTGCCTGCCTTCACCTGCTTAATTATGGATGTTCATTAAGGCAAACGAGCCGGGGGAGGCTCGGTTTGCTGGCACTCCGTGCTTGAGGAGCTGCAGCCTGAGCCCAGCTCAGCCCTGTGCTGCCATCCCACATCCACCAAAGGTGATTTTTGGGGGAATCAGAGCCTCGAGGAACCTGCACTGGTGGTGGGGTGGGTGTGCAACCCCCCAGCTCCGTGTCTGACCCCTGCCACCCTCCTCGGAATTTGTGTCACTGCCTGGGGGATCTGTCACCTGCAGGAGGGTCCCTGAGCGTGGCTGGTGCTGCAGCTGTGGCTTTGCTTCGGTGCTGGTGGCTTTTCTGTGCTGGCTCGGGGGGTGGACAGGGTCCCTGTGGGGGCTGCGGTGTCCAGCTGGAGCTGGAACTTCTCCAGGATTCTCCAGGAGCAGGAAACACCAGGATTCATCCTGCGCCTCTCTCCAGCTGAGCACAGGATGGAGACGTGCCAGGGCTGCCCCCGTGGGGGTGCAGGGATGGAGAAGCCTGTCCCAAGAAGATCCACATCCCTGCCCCAGCAATTTCTCCTGTCTGTGTTCTCCCAGAAGATCCACATCCCTGCCCCAGCAATTTCTCCTGTTTGTCTTCTCCCAGAAGATCCACATCCCTGCCCCAGCAATTTCTCCTGCCTCAGTCTTCTCCCAGAAGATCCACATCCCTGCCCCAGCAATTTCTCCTGTCTCAATCTTCTCCCAGAAGATCCACATCCCTGCCCCAGCAATTTCTCCTGCCTCAGTCTGGGCAGCAAGCTGAGAAATGAAAGTGTGGACACAGCCACACAAAAGTGCTGCAAATCCTCCAAAAGCTGCAGCAGGGTGTGTGGCACACATCCAGCACCTGTCCCACCCCTCCCACCTTTCCAAGGCTGGTTTTGGGGTGCTGTGGAGCAGAGCCACCCCAGGATCTCCTCCTGCCTTCGGGGCCCGTGGGTGGCACTGAGGCAGGGCTGGGGACCTGTGGAAGGGCTGGGTTGGAAGGGATCTCAAAGCTCGTCTTGTTCCAACCCCCTTCCACCACCCCACGTTGCTCCAAGGCCAGAATTCCAGCAGATTTCTGATTCCATGCTGCTTTCCACATGCTGTCAGTTTGTGGTGTAGGAAATATCCATTCCCTGGATGGAAGCCACCATCTGGTCAGGCCACAGAACCCTCCCTACAAGGCTCCATCCTGTGACACTTCGTCCTGCGAGGTTATTTTCCCTCAATATTCCCTATTTTGTCAGGCTTTTCTTGGGATAAGAAAGGAAAAATTCAAGCTTCGGTTCCCAAATTAGGCTTTGAAATAAAAGTGGCTTGAATTTTGGAGTTGTGCAAAGGAATGACTGGAATTTACTCCTTTTAAGCCAGGCCCTCTCTTGCCTGAGCCTGCTCTCCTTCACCTCTTCTTGTTTCTATAAATCCACCTTTGATCTTTGCTTAATCTGAGCTATCACCCAAAGAACTCAGGCAATTATTCTCTTGTAAGTGGGGCAATTATTGAGTTGCCATCTCACCAGTCTGAGGCATGGAGCTGCTGAGCTCCATAAACGTTGGTGACAAACACTGGCTCAGCCATCCTGGCACTGAGCTCTGAGTTCCCTCCCACTCCTGCTGCCCTTCACGTCCTGGTGCCCCTCTGCCTGCTCTCCTGGGCTTCTCCTGGAGGGAATTCCTGTGTGTGCAGCAGAGCAGGCTCCTGGATCACCTGTTGGAATTCCCATTTGGCACAGAAATCCCCCTCTGCAGCAGGGCCAGGGCCTGTGTGAGCCCTGAGCTCATCTCCCTTCTTGGGGAGCCTCTCCAGCAGGTTGGGAGCTGTGTTGTGCTCCCAGCAAATCCTTTCCCTTCCACCCTTCCCCTTTGCTGAGCCAAAGCTCTGCCCTGCGACGAGCACCCCCAATTCCCAGTTGTGCCACCCTTGGAGCAGCATTTCATCCATCACCCCATCCCTCCTGCCCGTGTTTTTTGGGAAAGCTGTGAGACTCCTCCCATGGCAATTTTGCAGAGGGAACCGGGCACTGAGCAGCCCCTGCCAGGAATCCACGGGCATCATCCATCCTGGCACGCTCTGTGCCACCACCACGGGCATCTCCCGGGGCTCTGGGGTGGGCAGAGCCCGCGGGGCACTCACGGCTCCCCTTCCTTGCAGGTTCCTCGTCCCCGGCTCGCCCCGGAACGCCGCTGGCCACCTGTGGCACCCCCCCGCCACCGCCGCCCCGACCCCCGTCCCGGCCCAAGCTGCCCCCCGGCAAACCCCCCGTCAGCGACGTGGTACGTGGGCTGGGCTGGCATTCCGGGGTGGGCTGGGCTCCTCTGGGATCCATGAATTCCCTGTGGGAAGGGCTGTGCCACCGCTGCTCTGCCTGGTGATGCCACCCACTGAATGGGCTGAGGTGGGGATGTGCCCCAGGAAGGGTTTGGGGGGCAGGCAGAGCAGTGCCAGCCCCCCCAGGAGCGCAGGGCTGTCCTGTGTGCCGCCCCAGGCTGCTTCAGGTAAGTGTGAGGGTTTGGGGGTTGATGCTGAGGGTATAAAACAGCCCCCCAAAGGTCCCTAAGAGCGTGGGGAGCTGGCACCTGCTGGGCACTGCTCCCTTCCCAATGCCAGCCCTTTCCATCCATCCCACGGCCCCTGGAGCTGCCACCCTCGCTGTGGTGTGTGGTGGGGATAATCTGTTTTTCCAGCTCCAAGCTAAAATGCTGTTGGTACTAAAAGAACTAAAGTTATTCCAATTTTTCCTCTGGGGCACCACAGAGCAGTCAGGAGGGTCCAGGCAAAATTCTATTTGTTTGATGCAAATGTTTCTGTGTGGATTTTCTTTAACTTTGTGTTCTTTTATGTTTCTCTCCAGTCCAGGCCTTTTAGCCCTCCCATCCACTCCTCCAGCCCTCCTCCGATAGCACCTTTAGCCCGTGCTGAAAGTACTTCTTCCATATCTTCCACCAATTCCCTGAGTGCAGCCACCACTCCCACCGTCGGTAAACACACACAGCACTGCTGTTCTTTCATCTTTCCTGAGGCCTTTCCATCCCTAGATCATTCCTTGGGGTCGGATTCCTCAGTTTTCATCGGGGTTTCAAATGCTAAAAGGGATTTGAGGGGGGTGAGGGATCAGGAGGGTGATGCTGCCAGGGGAGTTTTCCCAAATGTTGTTGGAAATGGATGCTTGGTGAAAGTCAAGGAAATCGTAACAGGAAATTCAGTTCTGGGCTGTGAATTGGGGCAAAATAAGCTTTTTTTTGCAGGGGATGCTTGTGCCTGGAGGGGAGTGGGGCTGGAAGCCAGACCTTGGGATCCAGGGATATTAAATCTCTTGGAATGTCCTTAAATTCACACTTGCCCTCAAAGCAGTAGCAGAAAAGGGGTCTTGGAAAAGAAAGTGGCTTTTCCCAGCCGCTGGGCAGAACCAAACGCTGCAGTTTCCTCTCGGAGGGGCGTCCTGGGAAAAGTGGGGTTTGCCAAAACCCTGGGCATGCCATGGGAATGGGAATGGGAATCGAGTCTGGCTGGCAGCTCCCAGCTCCAGGTGCTGGGACCCCCACGCCTCCCCCTCCATCCCCTCTGTCCCCTCTGTCCCCTGTCCCTGCTGCCAGCGCTCCTCCTCCTCCACCCCTGCCTGCCAGCCCCTGCTCCCTGCAGCTCCATCTCCTCCCAGGATCACCTCCCTCCTTCCCTCCTTTGTCTTTTCTTCCCAACCCTCTGGAAAAGCCGGCCTGGCGGGAGTTCCGTGCGCCGGCCGCGGTTCGTCACCGCTGTCACAGCGGTGGCACTGCCACCAGCCCCGCCCAAAGGTGCTGGTGACGGCCACCGTGGCTTTGCTGGAGTCTCAACTGCATCTCCGTCCTGTTGTCACCTCACTCTCAGGTGTTGTGCCTGCTCTGGCTGTCGGTCACTGTCACAGCACCCGGCTGGAAAAATGTCACCGGCACAGCGGGTCTGAGCGTCCCCTGTGCCAAGGGACACCACTGGTGGCACTGGCAGTGCCCTGAGCGGTGCCAGGGGGCACGGTGGCCACAGGGAGGGAGGGGACAGCCAGGCTGAGGACAGGGACAGTGCCAGGGGCTGCAGGAGGCTGAGAAGGGCGATGGGAGCGAGCTGAGCTCTGCCACCTCAGGTCCCTCAGGCTCTCCGTTTGCATTTCTTTTTTTCTCTTGTATATTTTTGGGATCAAAAGCTGCTGTTTGATGATTTAGTGAGCTCCCCGTGCTGAGCAGAGGGGATGAGGTTGCTGGGCTGGGGGGAGAAGCTGGGGTCCCACGTCCTCCATGGAACTTTCCTTGGAGGAGATCCAAAACTGGGGCTCTGGGGTCACCCCTGACCAGGGAGGTCCAAACAGGGCAGCCAGGAGGAGCATCCCAGATTTTATTCCAGCTCCATGCATAGATTATGCTGAGTGGGAAGGGATCCACAGGGGTCATTGATCCAACTCCTGCCCTGCACAGACACCCAACATTCCCACCCTGGGCATCCCTGGGAGCGCTGTCCCAAAGCTGCTCTGGCAGCCTCAGGCCGTGCCCATTCCCTGGGGATCTGGGCAGTGTCAGCACCCTCTGGATGAGGAACCTTCTCTGCTGGCATCCAGCCTAAACCTGGGGAAAAGCTGGATGGGGCACAGGCAGAGACAGACAGGGTTTGGGGTCTGCATTGGGAAAGCCTCTCCTGGTCCCCACCAAGGCAAGGGCGGCCACTGGTGCTGGGTGAGCATCCAGGGAAATCCCACAGCAGAGGAGGGGCAGCTTGCAATCCCCAGAAGAAGAAAAGCTGGGCTGGGAGGTGTGCAGGGATGGGCAGGTCTGGGACACCCCAATCCAGCTGGGGCTGGAGTTTGGCTCCACCACATTGCCCATCTCCCGTTCCCTGTGGCAAAGTCCCACGGAGTTTGTCCGGGAGCAGGGGCAGGGCTGCTCCATCCCCGTGTCCTCCGTGCTGTTCTGGTGTGCTTTCCTCGTTGGCTGCATGTCAGTCTGGACGATTCCTGGCACAGCAAGGAGCTCTTTGCTCCCCGTGCCGCTGCCCCTCCGTCTGTCTCTGCGTTGACACAAGTGCGCTGCTTGGTTTCACTTGGGATCCGTGTTTTCATTCTTTTTGTGCTCTTTTTTTTCTTTCTTTTTTCCTTCTTTCTTTCCTTTGCGTTTCTTCTGCTTGTGTTATCAGAGGATGATGCTTTTATTGACAAACTGCCCGCGTTTGAAAGGCGCAGTGAAACGCCGGCAGGTACTGTACTAGCAGGGAGTTTTCCAAAGAATTCCGCCTTCGGAGCGGCACCCACCGCTCGCAGCACCTTGCATGACAGTTTCTCAGTGACTCAAAGGACTTGGAGGTGGAAGGTTGGCATCTCCCGAATTCCAAAAGGTTCATTTAGCAGCTCCAAAAGCTGTCTGCCCCCTCCCACCCTCACACCCCGAGTTATTCCAGCGTGGCGCCTTTGACGGGAAGGGGAAGCTCCAGCTAGGATCCGCTGCTCTGTGTGCGTGTGTCCGGTTCTCTGCCAGTGTCGTGTCCTGAGGTGCGAGAGCAAACAGCCACGTGTCGCTGTCCCCGAGTGTCACTGGGGGTGGCACATGGAGCAGCATCCCGCCGGGAACGCTGAGCTCCGCGCCGGCGCAACCCGGAGCGCACGAGCCGACAAACCTCTTCTACCGCGGCCAAAAAATAATTAAAAAAGCGAGAGCACCCCTGGGAACCGCTCAGCCAGCGGGCAGAACGACTCTTCCATCTGGGCTTCCATAGCTTTGCTCCCCGCTTTCTGTCCCCCGAGCTGGCGGCCGGGTGTCGCGCGCTGTCCCTGCACGTGTGACCGCCCTGCCCTCCCCGTAGCGACATTAATGACCTGCTCTGTGACTCACTCTGTGTCCTTCTCTCTCCCTCTCCTAAACCTTTCCCATCCCGCTTCAACTCCTGGCCATACAGAGAATGAACAGCCTTCCCTCGTTTGGTTTGACAGAGGAAAGTTTTATTTGACTTTCGAAGGTAAGTAGTGCAAAGCACGCCCGGTAACCGCTCGCTCCCCTCGCTCTCTCGCTCCCGGGGTTCCCTTCCAAGGCTCCATCCAATCCAGCTTTCCAGGCTCCATCCAACCCAGCTTTCCAGGCTGGCTCCATCCAACCCAGCTTTCCAGGCTGGCTCCATCCAACCCAGCTTTCCAGGCTCCATGCAACCCAGCTTCCCGTGCGGAATGCTATGCCTAATTAGATGACATCGCCAGTCCGACCGGAATCGTTTTGATTTGATTTGTGCCATTTGTCCCGCTGATCTCTTTTTTTTTTTTCTTTTTTTTCCCCTCATTGATTTCATTTTCCAAAAACAAAGAGAAAAAAAATCCTCCCCAAGCAAACCAAAAGCCCAAAGGAACGTTGGGAATATTCCCAGACGGAGGTGAAAAGCAGGGAGCGGAGCCGCTTGCACTGCTGAGGAACACACCTGGGAGCTGCTGTGGTGCCTGCAGGCAGAGCTGGGGGATGTCCCATGTGGGATTCCCAGTGCCCCTCCAGCAAAGGACATGCCCGGGATGGCGCTGCCTGGCTGGGGAATGGCCCGGGATGGCAGTGCCGGGCTGGGGAATGGCCCAGGATGGCACTGCCTGGCTGGGGAATGGCCCAGGAGTGGCCCAGGGTGGCATTGCCTGGCATGGGCTGCTTGGTTCCATGGAGCAAACCCATCCTGGTGGCAGTGAAGGCTGAGCAGCAGCAGAAGGCAGGGAGCAAGGTGGTGACTGGGGCGTTGGGTCCTTCCTTTCCTCCTTTTTCCTTTTTTCCACTCTGACAATTCCCCCTTTGAAGTCCCTGCTCTGCTGGCATCTCCCAGTTTAGACCCAGGAGGGGTCGTGCAGGAGCTGCTTCCTCCTGGTGCTCAGGACAATTTCCAGCCAAAATCCTTGTTTGGGTTTCCTTTCTTGGGGGCTCGCTGGGAGCTCTGGGAAGAGCTGAGGACAGCAGGCACAGCCTTATCCCTCAGCATGAATATTCCAGCCCCACATTCCCCCTGCTCCGTGCTTCCTCCCTGCCCCTCGCTCAGTCCAGCACCAGCACTGCACATTTGGGCTTTTCCTGTGCCTTGGAATCTTAACTTTGTGTTGGAATTCTTGGGCTTGGTTCTGGTGGTGTGGATGGTCTGGAGCTGGGGTGGGATTCTCCTGGGGATGCAGGAGTGTGGGGCTGCCCCAGGATCATCCCCCAGCCCAGCAGGGAGCTGTGGCACTTCCACACGCTGCATGTCCTGATTTATCTCCAAATATTTCAGCCCAGCTTGAAAATAAAAACAAGATAAACCTCGTGTGCAGGGACGTGAGAGGAGATCTGCTGAGTTTGGCATCTGGAACACAGGGCACGGAATGCCAGAAGGGAAATTATGGTTTCTCTCTGGATTTGGGGTTGTTTCTGTTGTTTTTCTTTTTTTTTTTTCTGTTTCTGGTGGCAAGATCCACGTGCTTGATGAATGTGGGGCAGCTTGTCCCTGTGTGGAAGGAGGCGTGGTGATGCTGTCATGTTCTGGGATCCCTGGCTACTCCACAGCTGCATTTTCCACCTTTTGTAGGGAAAAATAAGGCAAATTAAGCTGGTCTGCTGCTTATGGCTGGGTCCAAAGCTCCATCAAGTTGATTTTTTTTTTTTCTGTTACTATCAGGTCATTTGTGCAAATGAAATATTTATAAAAGTGACTTCTGAAGCAGGAGCTGAAAAGGCAGGTTTGGAGCAGAGCTGTGCTCCAGCAACTGGATTTATCTCTCAGGTTTCTGGACAATAATTGTAATGCTTATAATAGTTTATACTTTTCTTTTTTAGTGAAAACATGACTGTAAAAATTAATTTATTCCCTGAAGCCATGAAGAAAAGGATTTATGGATTCATGAAGGAAGAGTGGGGGGAACCAAGAACTCCAATTCCACCCCCATGACCTTCAGACCATTAGAAACGAGGATGTTTTGTTGTTGCTGCTGCTGAGATGGACTCAGAGGGACAGAGGGAAAAGGAGAGATGAAAAATGAGGAGGAAAGTGTGGTGCTGTGGCAGACCCCTGGCCCACATCCCACGCCCTGGCACGGGCATTTGGGAAGTGGGATTTTCCTTCTCCAAGGAATGATGATCCCATTGCCAAGCCCTGTCTTGTGCCTTCCCTACGAGACAAGCCTGAGGCTCCTCTGCTGGTTGGCACCTCTGGTTCCCCCCTCCACAGCCAGATTTGGGTGGGTTTGGATCCCATCTGGTGAGGCCACACCTCGAGGGCTGTGTCCAGTTCTGGCCCCTCAGTTTGGGAAGGACTTTGAGATGCTGGAGCTCATCCAGAGGAGGCAGCGAGGCTGGAGAGGGGCTGGGAGCACAAACCCTGTGAGGAACCCCTGAGGGAGCTGGGGGTGCTCAGCCTGGAGAAAAGGAGACTCAGGGCTGCCCTCAGCGCTCCCCACAGCTCCTGAAAGGTGCCTGTGCTCAGCTGGGGCTGGGCTCTGTCTGCAGGCAGCACTGACAGAACACAGCACACAGCCTCACGCTGTGTTTCCAAGGGAAATACAGGCTGGATAGCAGGAAAATGTTCTTTACAGAAAGGTGATGAAGTTCTGGAATGGCTGCCCAGGGAGGTGGTGGAGTCACCATCCCTGGGTGTGTTCAAAAAGCCTGGATGTGGCACTGGGTGCCAGGGTTTAGCTGAGGGGTTGGGGCTGGGCTGGACTCCACGATCTTGAAGGTCTCTTCCAACCCAGTGATCCTGTGAATTCTGTGATTCTGTGATCCTGTGAATTCTGTGAATTCTGTGAATTCTGTGATTCTGTGAATTCTGTGATCCTGTGAATTCTGTGATTCTCTGAATTTCCAGGTGGATGCAGTGGGAATATCCCACTGCCAGGGTATCGGCCGTGTTTGATGCCCTGAGGGGTTGTTGCTCTGGGTGGGGAGCAAGGATTTGCTCCCAGTGGTGTCTTTGGGAAGGATTTTTAGGAAATGTGTTGTCCTGCGCGCCCCCTCAGCCATGGGGTTTTGGGGTGTGGTATCCCATAGTTTTGGGGAGCTGCCTGTGCCCTCATTGGAACTGTGCCTGTTCTTCAGTGGGAATTCCACCAGGGAATCCCTGATGGATATGCCGGGCTCAGGAGCAGGAGGCTCTGGGCTCGTTAGGATAATTAATGTGTGTGTGGCCGTGGGTGAGGTGGAGCAGCAGGATCCACTCCCGAGCACCCCCATCCCCATCCCGGGCTGCAGCTGGAACCTGGATTCCCCCGAGCCCCTTTGGGTGCGTGACCCACAGGGACACGTCTGGCTCCATCCCTTCTTTGCACTTTTAGGCTGCATTAGGCATGGGAAGGGAAAATCCCTCATCTGTGCCTCGAGGAAAGAGCACTTAGGGTTTATCCATTAATGCCTGGGTGCTTGGGGAGCTGTGAGGATTCCTCCTGGCTGTACCCACACTCCAAGTGTCACTGAAGTGACAGAAGATGCTGCAATTCCCAATTTCCTGCTCCCAAACCCCGGGCAGCAGCAGAGGAAGAAGGGAAGGGATCATTTCTGAGGATGCCCGAGCAGAAGGGCTCACCAGGAACGTGACACATTTTGCTCGGCTTTGCTTCCCCCTCATCCTCTGCCTGTGGAAGCGCTGCCATTCCTGGAGCTGGCTTTGGAATTCCTGTGGCTTTGGAATTCCTACAGCTTTGGCTGGAGCTGGCAGGTGCTCCTGTGCCCCGAGCAAACCCTGGGCTGGATCTGTCCCCCTTTCCACCCCCCTGGCAGGGATGGTGATGGACTGAGGGGGTCCCTGGATAAGCTGCTCCTCTGGAGTCCTTTGCTGTTCCTTTTTGGCTGGTTTGGGGCAAAATAATCCTCGTGCTTCACCCGGTGTACAGGATGTGGTATTTAAAAAAGGTTCCAAAATGGTTCATTGCAGGAAATAGATGAGGCTGAAGGGCGGTGCCAGGGCAGGGAATGACCTCTCCAGGATTTTTTGGGTGTCTGTGGGATCAACACCTTGGATATCTGCGCTGATCTTTGGATACTTTCCATAGGGAAGAGGTGTGGGCTTGGCAGTGCCAACCCCTTGGTGGTGGGCACAGGACTTGTGATCCCCTAAAGGGTTTCCTGCACACCTGGAGCTCCTGAGGAGCACTTGCAATGATGATTTCATCCTCAAATGTCTTTTGGAAACAACAGTTCCTGGCCAGCAAAGGGAAACCTGTGTGTGATCCTGCAGGGCCGAACTATTTTAGAGCCTGGCAAGCGTCCAAGGATGCACAGCAACACCGAAGCACGCTTTCCCCCTTTTCCAATCTTGGAATCCTACAATGGTTTGGTTTGGAAAGAACCTTAAATCTCAGCTTGTTCCAACTTCAGCTATCACAGCTGGCTGCTGTCCAGGCTGGCCTTGGACACTTCCAGGGATCCAGGGGCAGCCCCAGCTGCTCTGGGAGCTCTCAATCTGTGCCAGCAGCTCTGTTTTTCCAGGTTTCTGATGATTTGCAGCTTTCCTGTCGGGCTCTGAGGGTTTTAGGAGCGAGTGGGGTGTGGAGGATGCTCCGGGCATCCACAGGGCAGGAGAAGAGAGCAGAGCAGAGTGTGCCGGGGATTGCAGGAGCCCCCTCAGCCTGGGGGGACACCAGGGGCACACTGCCAACACCCCAAACTCCCCGGGGGTGACACAATGAACCCCCCCAGCCCCTTTTTGCGGGGCCCAAAAAGCGACTGCAAAAACTGTCATGCAAAGCCTGCCGTGTGGCAGCCCCGCATGCTGCTCCCGCCCGGCCACTCCATCCTTTTCTTTGCTTGCTTTTGGCAGCGGGGCTGGGGAGGGGAGGGGGGCAAAGATCATTTCCCAAATGTTTTGAAAGCCTCACCCGAAGCCTGGGGGGTTTTTGGGGATGGTTTGCCCGTGGAGTCAGGCACGGCGGGTGCCAAGGGGGGCTGCTGGCTCTGTTGCAGGCTCGTCGCGGGGCCCCAGCCCCCTGACCATGGGGGCACAGGACACCCTGCCCGTGGCTGCCGCCTTCACCGAGACCGTCAACGCCTACTTCAAAGGGGCTGACCCCAACAAGTAGGTGCTGAGCCCTGGGGTGTCCCTGCCCCGACCTCCGGGGGTGTCCCTGCGCTGGGGGCAGCTGGGGGGTGACCAGGGGTTTTGGCAGGGATGAGGAGGGGGGCTGAGGCTTTCCTCTGGATCTGGTTCAGGAGGTTCTCCAGATGTTTTCTGTCCCATCTGGGGCGCCAGAAATTGATGCCTTGTTCAGGCTGTCCTAGAGCAGAGCTGGGCAGAGTCACAGAATAAATTCGGGATTTATCCAAAGCACCAGAGCCCAGCCAGGGCTGCACCCAAATGAACCAAAATGGCCCCAAAATGCACGAGCGCTCCCGGGGGCTCTCCCTGGGATCAGTTCTGCTCCATTGGCACCTTGGAGTTCATTGTCCCATTCCAGCTTCAGCCCAGGCAGTCCCACCCTGCTTGTTTTTCTCTCTCCAGCCCACGCTGTTTGTGCTCCTGGGCTGAGATTTGGATCATTTGTCCTTGGTGCCCAGCTGGAGCAGGAATTGTTTTGTGTCCCTGCTCTGTGCAGAGAGCTCAGCATCCCCTGATGTGAAGCCCAGACCCACACACTGAAGCAGCTCAGAATGTGAAAATATAAAAGGCAAACCTGAGGACAGGAGGTGGTGTGGCCTGGGGTGTCCAGGGGCAGGGCACTTCTGCAGTGCCCTGTTTCAAAATGTTTCTGCTGTAGGAAAGGGGGGTGAGGACTTTGTGTGAGGAATCTCAGAGAGCAGCACAGGAAGGGTGGCAGGGGGGTGCAGCCTTCCCCTCCCGTGCCTGGCCAAGACGGGATGGCATTCCAACAGAAACTTGGAGGGTTTTCCCACCTTTGTTATAAGACCCTCTAATAGATAAAACCCAAAAGGGCAGAGCAAAGACAAATTAATTTCACTGAAATACCGAATCACCGAATGACAGCAAAATCAAGAAGCCTCAAACAGGGTTTATTGAAGAAGATCCCTGTCAGCCCTTGTGCTGTTTCTGCTCTCTCTGAGGCCACCAGAGGCTGGGATGTGTTGGGTGGGGAAGGGGGGACTGTCCCCACACCATCTGTGGTGCCAGCCCTCCCTCCTGCTGCGTTTGGAGCCCCTTTGCTGCCCAGGCTCTCCGTGCTGCAGGTGCATCGTGAAGATCACGGGGGAGATGGTGCTGTCCTTCCCGGCGGGCATCACGCGGCACTTCGCCAACAACCCCGCTCCGGCCGTGCTCACCTTCCGCGTGCTCAACTTCAACAGGCTGGAGCACGTCCTGCCAAACCCCCAGCTGCTCTGCTGGTGAGCCCCTCCCCCCAGCAGGACCCCAGGGGAAGGGGGATTTTGGGGAAAACGGGGCGTTTGTGAAAATATGTGGCCTGAAGTGTCTTCCTTGGAAGCTCGCGCTGATTTGGGGAATGAAACTCTCAAACCCTTAAAGACTTGATGAGATCCCAAAATGGTTTGGGTTGGTAGATCATCAGGATTATTCTGATATCGGGATTATCCCATGGGCAGGGACACCTCCCACTGTCCCAGCAGCTCCAGCCCCAGTGTCCAGCCTGGCCTGGGGCACTGCCAGGGATCCAGGGGCAGCCACAGCTGCTCTGGGAATTCCATCCCAGCCCCTCCCAGGGAACAATTCCCAATTCCCAATGTCCCACCCATCCCTGCCCTCTGTCAGTGAAGCCATTCCCTGTGTCCTGTCCCTCCATCCTTGTCCCCAGTTCCTCTCCAGGCCCTGCCAGGGGCTCTGAGCTCTCCCTGGATCCTTCTCCTCTCCAGGGGAGCCCCCCCAGCTCTCCCAGCCTGGCTCCAGAGGGGCTCCAGCCCTGCAGCAGCTCCGGGGGTTCCTCTGGGCTCTCTCCAGCAGCTCCAGCTCCTGCTGATGTTGGCCCAGGGCTGGGGCAGCTCTGCAGGTGGGGCCTCACCTGGGAGGTGCAGAAGGGCAGAATTCCCCCCTTTCCTGCTGCCCACACTGGGGGATCAGCCCAGGACTTGGGGGGTTCTGAATCCCAGTGCAGATGGGTCAGGACAAGCTGGAGCTGTGTGGGAGGGAGCCAATGTTCTGGGCCCCTCAGTTGAGGAAGGACGTTGAGATGCTTGAGCACGTCCAGAGGAGGCAACGAGGCTGGTGAGGGGCTGGGAACACCAACCCTGTGAGGAACGTCTGAAGGAGCTGGGGCTGTTCAGCCTGGGCTGTTCAGCCTGTTCAGCCCTGTGAGGAACGTCTGAAGGAGCTGGGGTTGTTCAGCTGGAGAAGAGGAGGCTCAGAGGTGACCTCATTGCTCTCCACAACTCCCTAAGGGAGGTTGCAGACAGGTGGGGTCGGTCTCTGCCCCCGGGCAGCACTGACAGGACAAGAGGACACAGCCTCAGCTACGTCAGGGAAGGTTTAGGTTGGGTATTAGGAAAAAATTTTTCACTGAAAGAATAATAAAATACTGGAATTGTCTTCCTAGGGAGGCGGTGGGATCACCATCTCTGGATGTGTTTAAAAAAAGACTGGACTTGGCACTTGGTGCTATGGTCTAGTTGTGGTGTCAGGGCACGGGTTGGACTTGATGATCTTCCGAGCTCGTTATGCTGTGATTCTGTGATTCTGTGATGTTCCTTGGGGGGTTGGATTGAGTTCAGCCCCTGTGCTGTGCAGAACAGCTCTCCTGCCCAGACAGCTGATCCAAAAGGCTCCTTCTCCTCTGTGCAGTGACACCGTGCAGAGTGACTCCAACTCCAAGGAGTTCTGGGTCAACATGCCAAATCTGATGACTCACCTAAAGAAGGTATCGGAACAGAAACCTCAAGCCACCTATTACAATGTGGATATGCTCAAATACCAGGTAGGGTTTTTTGGTTTGTTTGGTTTTGTTTTTTTTTTTTTTTTTTTTTTTTTTTGTGTGAGATAAAACTGTGCCCAAAAAAAAAAAAAAAGTATGCTGATTATGGCTGTAAAAAATGGTCAATGTAAAATAAAAACTGGTCAGTGTAAAAAATGGTGTTTCCCTAGTGCAGAGTGGAGCTGTTGTGAGGTGGGGGCTTGTCCCACTGTCCCTCCTGTGTGGCACTGGGTTGTCTGGCTTTAAGCCCGGTACTAAATTCAGCGGGAATTCAAGGGCTTGCCTCCCAATGCGATGTCCGCGTCTGTAAAATGGGATTTCTCCCTTCAGCCCTACGGAAACTAAATGTTTTTTCTGTCATTTTGGAAGGTATCTGCCCAGGGTATTCAGTCTACTCCATTAAACCTTGCAGTGAGCTGGCGGTGTGACCCTGCAAGCACTGACCTGCGCATCGACTACAAATACAATACAGAGGCAATGACCACGCCTGTAGCTCTAAACAACGTCCAGTTCCTCGTCCCCGTCGATGGAGGAGTAACCAAACTCCAAGCTGTGCTTCCTCCTGCTGTCTGGTAGGGATTGCTCATCTGCCCCTGCCCAGAATCCCCGTCCTGCTGCAGCAGGGTCTGTGGGTGGGAGCTGGGGACACCCAAACCTGCCCTCCTCTTGTAGGGGGACACCTTTAACCCCACTCCGATTCCCTTTCTCTTGCCATTCCCACAAGGAAATGGTCAGGGGTGAAGGGAGAAGTGTGGGAGCAGAGCATCAGCCCTTGTTTTGTGTTTTGGCTGCTTTATCCGGGGTTTAGAGGGATGCACAGGCAGGTGCCAGCACAGGGTGGGAATAGTGGGAGCTTGGAGCAGCCTGGCACAGCGGGAGGTGTCCCTGCCATGGCAGGGGTGGCACTGGATAAGTTTTAAGATCCCCTCCAACCAAAGCAGTCCGGGATTGTGGGATGCACGGAAGGACGTGTGGCTGTCGCTGCCCTAGGCACAGGCACATTTCCATGGCTCTTGCTCACCTGCAATCCTCATAGCAATCATACAAATATTTTGTTTGGAAAAGCCTTCTAAGACTATCAAGTCCATCCATGAGCCCAGCAGGTGAACTTTCACTTGCTTTGAAACCCAAATCCAAGCTCCCAGAATTGCTGCTCCAGAGGGAAGCACCAGAGTAGTTCCCCCTCCTCTCTACCCACCCCCAGCCTTTAGCAAAATTCAGATTACTCCCTGGCAATTTCTTGATTCCTACAGAAATGATCTTCTCCGTGTGTTTGCAGGAATGCTGAACAGCAAAGGATATTGTGGAAGATCCCTGATATCTCCCAGAAGTCAGAAAACGGAGGTAATCCTGCCAATATGCACGTCATGATCTCGGAATCCTTCAGGCAGGCACAGGCCCAGACACTCGGGATCCTGCTGGGGCTTGCTGGGGTCAGAGCTATTTAATTTTGGAGCTCAAACAGCAGGGCTGCGTGCTTTGCCAGCCACCTTGGCATCCCGAGGGGCATTCACACACCGGGCTGGGATGTGGTGGTGTGCCAAACCCTTGGCTGCCCTCCACCCCGAGGCTGGGAGGGTTGCTCTCTCCCGTGAGAGGTTTTCCACGTGGAAAGCTCTTCTTAGCCTGGGATGTGTGAAAAGCTGAATCGTGCTGGGAGGATGAGGGGGTTTGGCTCTGTCCCCCCGGTGCCAGCCCCTTCTGGCTGTGCCCTTGTCCATGCCAGGAGGATGAGGTGGTTTGGCTCTGTCCTGGTGGCACTCTGGCCATGCCCTTGTCCATGATGGAAGGATGAGGGGGTTTGTTCTGTCCTGGTGGCACTCTGGCCATGCCCTTGTCCATGCTGGGAGGATGAGGGGGTTTGTTCTGTCCTGGTGGCGCTCTGGCCATGGTCTTGTCCATGCCAGGAGGATGAGGGGGTTCGGCTCTGTCCTGGTGGCACTCTGGCCATGCCCTTGTCCATGCCAGGAGCATGAGGGGGTTTGTTCTGTCCTGGTGTCACTCTGGCCATGCCCTTGTCCATGCCAGGAGCATGAGGGGGTTTGTTCTGTCCTGGTGGCACTCTGGCCATGGCCTTGTCCATGATGGGAGGATGAGGGGGTTTGTTCTGTCCTGGTGGCACTCTGGCCATGGCCTTGTCCATGATGGGAGGATGAGGGGGTTTGTTCTGTCCTGGTGGCACTCTGGCCATGCCCTTGTCCATGCCAGGGTGATGAGGGGGTTTGTTCTGTCCTGGTGGTGCTCTGGCCGTGCCCTTGTCCATGATGGGAGGATGAGGGGGTTTGTTCTGTCCTGGTGGCACTCTGGCCATGGTCTTGTCCATGCTGGGAGGATGAGGGAGTTCTGCTCTGTCCCCCTGGTGCCAGCCCCTTCTGGCCGTGCCCTTGTCCATGCTGGGAGGATGAGGGGGTTTGGCTCTGTCCTGGTGGCACTCTGGCTGTGCCCTTGTCCATGATAGGAGGATGAGGGGGTTTGTTCTGTCCTGGTGGCACTCTGGCCATGGCCTTGTCCATGCCAGGGTGATGAGGGGGTTTGTTCTGTCCTGGTGGCACTCTGGCCATGTTCTTGTCCATGATGGGAGGATGAGGGGGTTTGTTCTGTCCTGGTGGCACTCTGGCCGTGCCCTTGTCCATGCCGGGAGGATGAGGAGGTTCAGCTCTCTCCCCTTGGTGCCAGCCCCCTCTGCCCGTGCCCTTGTCCACACCAGGACACTCCGGTGCCCCAGGTGCTCACCCAGCTCTTTTTGGGGTTCCCATGGCAGGTGTGGGCTCGCTGCTGGCGCGCTTCCAGCTGTCTGAGGGGCCCAGCTCGCCGGCCCCGCTGGCCGTGCAGTTCACCAGCGAGGGCAGCACCTTGTCCAGCTGCGACATCGAGCTGGTGGGCGCCGGGTACCGCTTCTCCCTCATCAAGAAGAGGTTTGCAGCAGGTGGGTGCCTCGCCGGCGGCTCCTCTGAGATAAAGTAAAAATGTAACAGCGTAGAAATCCGTTTGGATTTAGGTGAAATGTGCTGCTTTGGGTTTGCTAAATATGCTGTTTAGTGTGGTGACTGCAAGCCTAGCAAAACTTATCCGAGCTAAGAAAAAAGAATAGAAATTTCCACACTAAAGACTCCTCAGACCTTGAAACGCACAAAGCAGAGTAACCCAAGAATTCTTTCTGTACTTTCTGACAAAAACAAACTACAAGTGTAACTATCTGTAAGTATAACATAAAACCAGCAGAGTGAATATGCATTAACCTATTATAAAATTCTATGCATATGGAAATTAGTAAGGGTAATAAAAAAAGGATCGGGAGTTCTCAGAGGTACGCATGTCCATTAAAGGGCAATGAGTCCCCACATGTAAATAAACATACCCATTTCCTACAAATCTTCATTAAAATTATAAAGTTTAATTTTTCATCCGCGTTTCAGTGTCCCCGTGGGCAGGGTGGGGACAGAGGGGCAGCAGCTGCCCTGAGTGACATAAATCCTGCTGCCACCTGCCAGCCTTGGATCTCATGGCTCGTGCCTGCTCCTGCACGAAAGGCAGGCTGGCATCTCCAGGGCACCTCCAGGAGGAGCTTGTGCCCCGTTGCTGCAGAGAATAACGAGGATTTTTCCTTAATGCTGCAGAGGGTAATGAGGATTTTTCCTTAATGCTGCAGAGAATAGTGAGAATTTTTCCTTATAGATTATTTTCCTCATGGCTGCAGAGAATAACAAGGATTTTTCCTTAATGCTGTAGAGAATAGTGAGAATTTTTCCTTATAGATTTTTTCCTCATGGCTGCAGAGAATATTGAGGATTTTTCCTTGTGCTCATGGCTGCAGAGAGTAACGAGGATTTTTCCTTAATGCTGCAGAGAATAGTGAGAATTTTTCCTTATAGATTATTTTCCTCATGGCTGCAGAGAATAACGAGGATTTTTCCTCATGTCTGCAGAGAATAACGAGGATTTTTCCTCATGGCTGGAGAGAATAACGAGGATTTTTCCTTGTGCTCATGGCTGCAGAGAGTAACGAGGAATTTTCCTCATTGCTGCAGAGAGTAACGAGGATTTTTCCTTATGGATTTTTTCCTCATGGCTGCAGAGAGTAACGAGGAATTTTCCTCGTTACTGCAGAGAATAACGAGGATTTTTCCTCATGGCTGCAGAGAATAACGAGGATTTTTTCTTATGGATTTTTTCCTCATGGCTGCAGAAAATAACGAGGATTTTTCCTCATTGCTGCAGAGAAAAATGAGGATTTTTCCTTATGGATTTTTTCCTCATGGCTGCAGAAAATAACGAGGATCTTCCCGTGGGCAGGAAGGGCTGGTGGAGGTGGGCACGAACTCCTGGGAACCAGGGCTGCTCCCTCCCCCAGCTGATTTCTGATCCCGTTTCCAGGTAAATATTTGGCGGATAACTGATGGAAGCTTATGCAAGTCTATGGAAAATACTATGGAAAATACCCAAGGACTGCTGTGCGTGGAACGGGTTTTAATCACAGTTTAAGGAAAATGAACTAAATCCTGCACTCGGGACATTTCTGTTGGAAGTGTCGACAACTTTCAGCGTTTTTTTTCCTTGGAAAACACCGTCTTGACCAGTCCTCCAGTATTTACTTCTAGATGTAACATTGTTAATGGTTTTAAAATGTAATTATTGTATTTGTAAATTGTACTCATTCCAGTAAGGCTGTATTTTGGCAGTTAGACACTTGAGTTTTAGCATTTTACCATTCATGAAATGGATGTAATTTAAACTGTGGTATATAAATCTAATAGTAGTACTGTTGAATGGCACAATGCTTACCGAGGTAGATTGCATTTTGTCAATATATACAATTTAAATACGATACTGGTAGCTGTTATGAAGGGGGTGCCTCATCAAAAGAGAGTTCAGTAGGGCCCACAGGCTGATTTAATTTTCCTTCAGTCCTTAGTACGTCTCACAGCGATCAATAAAAAGCTGAACCTTCAGGTTCAGCTGGTTTAACTCCAGAAAAATATTCTTGGAAAGGCGGAGGTTCCTAGGACAGTCTCCCAAGAAGGAAATCTCACTTCTGCAAGGAGTATTTACCCCAAATTTCCAGCCCTGTGTTCTCTTAGAACTGCAGACTCCCTGTTGGAATCCCAGCAGCGCTTCCCTGCCCCATGCCCGGGTATTTTTGGGGACAGAGATGAGGAAAGAAGCAGCAAAGAGGCACAAAATGTCATTTTTTGGTTCGAGGATGCATTTCCCCAGCTGCCTCCGGACGTTCCGTTGTGTTTTTGCCTTGCTTTGCTGGCTTTTTTCTGCCTTTCTCCCCCATTTTTTTGAAAGCTCTACGGGTTTAGAAAATGCTTTAAAGAATTGCAGCTGCACCTGCTTGTCTATTTTAGCACTCAGGCAGGAAAATGTGTGTGGAAAAACACAGGGAAAGAATTCCCCAGGGAGCAGGAGCAGCACTGGGGGTGTTGGTATCAGCCAGGGCAGGAGCCCAGCTCACCAGAACTGGCAGCAGCTGTCTTGTAGAGATGGGAAAACACGTGGAAGTGCTAAATTGGGGAATGGGGGACAAAATATTGTCCCTCTGTGTTCCCCCTGTGCCACTGAGTGCTGCTCATTCCTGTGGATCTGGCTCTCATCCCACTCCTGGCAGCGTGGTGAGAGCCTTGGTGGCATTCATGGTGCTGCAGCTGCTTGTTAAACAGCAGAATTTGGCAATTTGGGGGAAGAAAAATGAAGGAATCTTTGTGAAATTAAACACAGATGCACAGAGGAGCAGACACCAAGGGGTGCTGGGGCTTTGGGAAAGTGTAAGGTGACAAAAATGCTGATGTCCCAAGTGTTGCCAGGATTGCAGTGTGCATTTCACTGGAAAACAGCCTGGGCACGGTGGGAAGTGCTCATGGAGCAGTCTGATGAAGGAAAACAGATCTCTGCCCATCTTGAGAGATTTTGGGAATCGTGGGGGATATTTCAAGCAGGAAATGTTGGGATATTTCAGGTGTGAGGTGGCTTCCAGGCTGAGATCTGCGGAGTGAGCTGTGTGTGAGCTGACAGAAGGCAGCAGCAGGAAAGGAAAAGCACAATTCACTTCCCACATGCTCACAGATTTTGGGAGTGCACTCCCCAGTGTTCCACTCCATGAATGATTCTCCCCTGAACTGGAAATTTGTATCAAGTGTGGAGCTCACCCCTTTCTGACACAGAAACCCCAAGAATCAGGTTTATGGTGCATTCAATTGCTCCAAACCCATCCTTCCAATAGAGATCTATGGCACAGACCTGAAAAAAATGGATTTATAATGTAAATATTACCAGAACATAGAGATTTTACTTTATATTTAATCTGAAAGACAAGGTGTTTACATTGGCATTGGGTTTTTGAGTGCTTTTTAAACAGAAAAACCCATAACCCAAAGCTCCCAGGCTCATCTTGTTTGAGCTGGGGAACAAAACAGAGGTCACTTTTTCGGGACACAGCCCTGATGGCCTGGAGAGAGAGATGGGAACAGCCTGGGACATTTTGTCCTATTTCTGGGGGTGGGATGTGCCAGCACTCCCAGCCCCACAGGTGGCAGGTGACACCAGCCCTGTGACACTGGGACCAAAAGCAGTGATTTGGGACAGGTTTTTCCATCCTGCTCTCGCCAGTTTTTGGCAGAGTGTTTTCTCAGAGTGCCCTGGGCTTTGCTGGGAGTTTGGTGAGAGCACTGCCTCCAGAGAGGGACCTGTGCTCAGAGCAATCAAGCTCTGCAGGCTTCACCTCGGCTTTTAGGAAGGAAAATCTGTGTATTTTCAGGGAATTCTTCTGTTTGGGCTTGTCTGACCCCTCACAGAGAGCAGGGAGGTGAAATGGCTCCGATTTGGTTTCACAGAGATCCCAGACTGGTTTGGGTGGGGAGGGACCTTAAAAATCCTCCTGTTCCTTCTCTGCCATGGCAGGGATACTTTCCACCATCCCAGGCTGCTCCAGCCTGGCCTTGGGCACTGCCAGGGATCCAGGGGCAGCCACAGCTGCTCTGGGAATTCCATCCCAGGGAACAATTCCCAATTCCCAATCTCCCATCCATCCCTGCCCTCTGGCAGTGAAGCCATTCCCTGTGTCCTGTCCCTCCCTGCCTTGTCCCCAGCCCCTCTCCAGGCCCTGCCAGGGGCTCTGAGCTCTCCCTGGATCCTTCTCCTCTCCAGGCTGGGCATTCCCAGCTCTCCCAGCCTGGCTCCAGCCCTGGAGCATTCCCAGAGCTGTTTCCCAGCAGGGCTTTTCCCAAGCCAGGCTGAGCTGGAGAGGGGCTGAGCCCTCTGGCACTGCCCAGCCCTGGCACCCCTGGGCTCGGCAGCACCAGGATCCATCTGGGTGAACAGAAGGATAAATAAAGGAGGTTTTCAATGGTAAAAATGTGAATGCATGCACAGAAAGGCTTTAGCTCTGCTCCTTCTGTGGATGTTCCCCTTTAGACTCTGTCCTCAACCTCTCCCCAAGGAATTTTCCCTGGGAATTTGGCAGCCCACACCTGCAGAGTCAAGGTCCCCCTGGCAGAGCAGGAGAGTTTTTTCCCCATGGACACCTTCACACTTGGAATCTTACATGGCAGGAGTGGGAAGTCATTTATTGCCACCTTTCTGCTGTTTGTTGCAAGCAGTCACAATTCTCAGCCAGCTCAAGGTGCTCCTCACAGGAGACCTTTCAGAGCAGTTCTCTACATTAACAATATTTCTTAGTAACTCTGAAATCTCTCAATAGTAGGAAAAAACACCAAATAATGAGCTTTTCATTTGGTGTCTGCATTTGTTCTTAAATGTCACTGCCCTGTTTACATCTTCTTGGTTCTGTTGTCATTCAGTATTCCAGTGAAATTAATTTGTCTTCACTCTGCCCTTTCAGGTTTTATCTATAATTTTTTTTAAAATATGCCAGTTTCTGTTGGAATGCCCTCCCTCTGTAGCCAGGCAGAGCAGGGATGGGAAGGGAAGGTACAGCCCCCCTGCCACCCTTCCCAGGCTTCTCCCTCCAGCAGGAGCATCCTAAAAAAAGAGTCACCACCTCTTTCTCCCAGCAGAAGCATTTTTAAATTGCTGGAGTGCACTGAAAAGGTGACAGATTTTTAATTTACCTAAGAGAGAGTCAAACATTTTTTTTTTCCCTGCCCTTTTGTGGTTTTCATGTGAAAATATCTCAGTTAAAACCCCTAATTTTGAAGTTGTCATGACCAAAATACGTAACACCATCCTGTTGTACTTCCCAGGTTAGGAATGACTGTCTCAAAGATTTCACTTCAAAGCCAGAATTCTTCTGTTCCTCTTTTCCTCACGGTTTCCCAAGGAAATGAATCTGTGTAGAGGCAGGGAGGTTTTATGATAATCAGGATTATTCCAGTCAGGATTTTAATTCTTCTTTCACTGCAAGGCAAGGGAAAGGTTGGCAGGAATACTCCCTGCTCCTGCCTGGCTTCCCTTGTCCCTTTGGGAGGGGTGATGCTGCTGGCAGTGGTTCTTGGAGCCACGAAATTGGTGGTGATGCTCTTCAAAGGCTTGGGGACGAGCAGGATGCGGTGGAACACCCCAGACCCCAGCGGGGCTTTGGGGGTGCCTTGTCCATCCCTCAGAAATCCCAGGTTTGCTGGGAATTGCTGGGGATGTGCTGCCCCCATGTCGGGCTCCTCATCCATGCAGGAAGGGGTTTTTCACTCCCAAAGTTCCAAGGATGATGAAATCCCCCGGGTGCTTGGATGACCTGGAATAAACAGAGACGTGGCGTGGTCTGAGCCAGGATTTGGTTTGGGATGTGCCAGGAAGCTCCCAGGGCTGGTGGGAGGAGGGCCCAGGATGTGGGACAAGCCCACTGTGACACCCCAGCAGTGAATCAGATACCCCCAGGCATCACCCTGGACCACTTAACGAACTCCCTCGTGTATAAAATGTTTATAAATATTTGTGGATGAAGATACACAGGTCTATTTTTAAGATTTAAGTTAAATAAGTTAATGAATGGCTGGCCTTTTCTGCCTAAACGTGCAATGAGATATATTATACCTTTAGTCTATGATGGCCTAGGTACTGCTTAGTCTGTGATGAAAACTTTGCTGCTTTCCTACTGTTCTCAGAGAAAAAAAAAAAAAAACAAAAAACAAAAAAACCAACCTATAAAAGACGTACAGGTTTGTTGCACAGGGACTACTGCAGCGAAGCTTTGTATTTGACCACTGGTAATATGAATGTGTTGTATTGACTTGTTGAAGATAATCATGAAACAACATATTTTAAATGTTACTTGCCTTATAGATTAGAGTACGACTATGTGGATATCATTTTTTGTAAATACTGTTTTTTATAAATGTCTCTCCTCCATCCTCCCCGTCACCGATTTCACCGACTCTCAAATATGCAATTATTTACCATGCAGAGCGTTGTGACAAAGAAATCCCCACATCAGAACAAAGTTTATTCATTCTATACATAAGAACCCCATGAAATACCCAACTGAGTTGCAATTTAAATGTGATTATTATTATTATTTTTTCCCTTGAAAATAAACAAAAAAATGTACAACATTTCCTTTTCTGAGCCAGTTTTGCTTCCACGTGCAGGGGCACCCAGAGGAGCGGGCAGAGGGATTGAAGGCTGGCCTAAAAAAGGGTCCCTGTCCCCAAACCCACCATTCCTGCTGGAATCTGTGCAGTGTCCCAGCATGGGGACAGGTCCAGGGTGGCATGTGGGGACACCTGAGGATCCACAGGGAGTGTGGGGATGGATGGAGCTCGAGGGAAGGGACCTGAGGGATGTGGGATTTGGGGACCTGTGGGGACATTTGGAGGCCATGGGGCCACACAAAATCTTTAGCTTTATGTGGGGGCATGTGGAGACATTTGGGGGCCATGGGGCCACGTGGAATCTTTAGGTTTTTGTGGGGACATGTGGGGACATTTGGAGGCCATGGGGCCACACAAAATCTTTAGCTTTATGTGGGAACATGTGGAGACATTTGGAGGCCATGGGGCCATGCAGAATCTTTAGGTTTATGTGGGGACATGTGGGGACATTTGGAGACCATGGGGCCACGTGGAATCTTTAGGTTTATGTGGGGACATGTGGGGACATTTGGAGACCATGGGGTCACACAAAATCTTTAGGTTTATGTGGGGACATTTGGGGGCCATGGGGCCACACAAAATCTTTAGGTTTTTGTGGGGACATTTGGAGGCCATGGGGCCACACAAAATCTTTAGGTTTATGTGGGGACATATGGGGACATTTGGAGGCCATTGGGCCACACAAAATCTTTACGTTTTTGTGGGGACATGTGGGGACATTTGGAGGCCATGGGGCCACACAAAATCTTTAGGTTTATGTGGGGACATGTGGGGACATGTGGGGACATTTGGAGGCCATGGGGACACACGGGGAGCTGTGGGGACCTGTGAGGGCTGTGGGGACACACAGGGGGCCGATGGAAACCATGGGGAGCCGGGGGAGCCGCAGGAATTCACCGCCGTGAGGGCGGGAATGGCGGGAACGGGAATGTGAGGGGACGGAGGCGGGGAACGGGAATTTGGATGGATGGAGCCGGGAATAGGGAGGGACGGAGGGGGGGAATTGGAATTCTGAGGGATAGAGCCGGGAATAGGGAGGGATGGAGGCGGGGAACGGGAATTCGGAGGGTGGATCCGGGGAACGGGATTGCGGCGGGCGGGCCCCGCTCCGGCCCCGCCTCCGCCCCGCAGCTGAGGGCGATGGAGGGCGGCGGAAGCCCCGCCGAGCCCGGCCCGGGTGGGTGTGGGGTTGCCCCTCCAAAATCCCTCCAGCACTGCGATTTTTTCCCTTCCTAACCTCGGGCTTTGCCCCGCAGGGCCCGGCGGGCGCTTCCCGGCGGCGGCGGTGGAGCGGATCCTGCGGGATGCGGTGCGGAGCGCCCTGCGGGAGCGGCGGTACGAGCCGGGGCCGTGCCGGGAGGCGGCCAGGGACATCGCCGAGGTGGGATGGGAACGGGACTGCTGCCCTGAGGGCATCCAGAGCATCCCTCTGGCTGCCCTGGGACCCTGGCAGGGTCAGGAACCCCCCTGGACAGAGCCCCCAGAGACACTGGCTGTGATCTCTGCCCATGGAAAAGAGTTTTCAATCTTACAGGATGAATTACCAGCTCTGAGGGTTTGATATGAGTAATAATTAATAATTCAATAGCTCTGGACGCTGAATTGTTTTTCTTTATCATTAAAAAAGAAAATTTATTAATTTATAGACTTTGAATGGAAGAAAAGACTGATTGCTGAAATCCTGGTTTCAGGCGGAATTTTCTTTATAAAAGCCGCTTGTGCCAGGATGGAGGTGTGTGGGCATGGAGGAAAATCTCTGCTGAGGCTGATTCCTGGTGCCGACCCTGGGCTCGTCTCTGTTCTTTCCTTGTGGCTGGCTAGATAGAATTTAATTGCAAAATAAATATTTTATTTTTTCCTTTTAATTTAGCTAGACAAATTCTCATTTATAACACATCTAACCCCATCCTCTTGTCAGTTTATACCACTCCCCCTTGCCCTGCTGTAAACCCATCCCCGTTTTTGGACACGTGTGGACCGAACCTGTTTTTCTCCGCAGGCTGTTAAGGCACAGGTGAAGGCGCTGGGGGTGCCCAGGTACAAGATCGTGGTGGTGGCACATGTCGGGCAGCTGGGTGGGCAGAGCTTGCAGATCAGCAGCAGGTGCCTCTGGGATCCCCAGAGCGACACATTTTCCTCCTACGTGTTCAAGAACACCTCGCTGTTCGCCGTGGCAAACGTCTATGGGGTGTATTTTGAGTAGGGAGGTAGTTGAGTTTAGCAGCAGGAAAAGTTAATATTCAGCCTGATTCTTCCTAGCCCTGTTGTTGAAAATATCTGTGGAGGACCTAGGTGCTCTCACCTGCTTTGAAATGTGAGCCTTTGGGTGAGTGACAGAGCTGTGCAGCTGCTTTCAGAACTTGCTCTGTAGGGGAAATATTTTCAGAATAATGCCTGTAAGTAATGTTTTCCCTGTTCTCCTCCAGGAAATCTTACTGGAAGTATTTGGATTAGGGAGTAAACCATGGGTTTTGCCTGCCCACTTTTGGGGCTGGTACTGATGGTTCTAAGTCTCTCCTGGTGCGGCCATTCCCCACCGAGGTGGGGTCTGGCTCACCTTGCTCTGGATCTAAACCAGATTTTTTGTTAGCCCTATTTCCCAGCTGAAACCTGCTGTTAGGTTTTCCTGAGTCAGAGAACAAACCTATCACAAACTGCTTATTTTATTACATTTTAGGTGCAAAGCTGAAACCAGAACAGTAGTTAGTTGGGAAGATATACTTCATGTACTCATGACTAAAAGTTTAACTCTAACCCTCTGAGCACTGTGAAATGCAGACAACCTGAAGCCTCTTGCTGGTGTGCACTGTGACATTTAACACCCAAAAGCTACAATTAAAGAACACAACTGAAAGAACTGTGGTTTATGTCATGATTATTTTAATCCCTGGAAGCTGCAGCACCGAGCTGCTGCATTTCAGCACAGGGAGCTGATCTCTGTCCTGCTGCAGCCCACGTTGCAGCAGGATGTGGCCAGCAGCTCGGCTGCCTCACGCTTGTGGAGCACAGAAACTTTGCTGCTGTTTTGTAATTCTTGCTCAGGTTTGACGTCCAGGGGTTCTCTGTGGGTCCCCAGCCTCGGCTCTGGGTGTGAGGAGAAGTCAGCATCATCCTCATCCTCGTGCAGGAAACGCTGGGGGTTTTCACTCCCTGTGGCAGGAAAATGAGAAGTTAAAAGTCAGGGGAAGGTGAGTCATTTGTGCTTTTTATCTTTACTAGAAAGACACCAAGGGCCAGCCAGGGAGATTGTTAGCGTTGGGAAACACATAATCACAGGATATGATTATCTGTAGGTGCTTTTATTAAGAGCTCTGAGAATCAGGGGCACAAACCCAAATCTGACTCCGCCATAGGTTTCGAGCTGAATGTATTTTGTACTCTATCGTTATGTAACTTACACATTCATTATTAAACTTACATTGTTCTATTGTATACATTGACATGAGTTTATAGTGATCTTTCTTAGGTCCATGGCCACAGTTTCACATGATTATTCTTTCTGATTAAACAGTAATTATATTTAGTTACTAAACAGTCGTCACATCTAACAGTTATATCAATTATCATGTACTAGCTACATAGTACTATTTCTCCCTATGCTAAAGGTATTTATCTTTCCAAGGCCTACTAAGCTTATTTATTTTTTTCCTATTAACCCTAAATCTCATGATTTTAAAACCCTTTTACTATCAAGATAAGTGTTGCCCTCTGACATGAACCCCACATCACAGGCTCCTCACTGAGGAGCAATCCTTGATCAGCGTGGTAAAACCAAGGAGTTCAGGGATTTATATTGAAGTGTTCTGTGGTGCCCTGAGTCCTACACTGATAAATTTGCTTCTCCAGGAAAAGCTGGGATTTGATGCACATTAAGCTGGACCTGGGGGGTTCCTGAATTGCAGGTGCTGCATTAAGGCTGCAGCTGCCCCAGAATTCTCACTTTTCAAAAGCAAGGTTCTTCAGCAGATTTTGGGGAGGGGGTTGCCCATGTTACCACTCTTGTATTTGTTTAAAGCTGCTGCTACAAGAGAATTCTCAAAAAATGCAGGTGTGAGAAGTGCAGAAAGCCTCTGTTGCTGTCATCTGCCTCTGTTACTTTCTTGTTCTCTATTTGTTTTAGTCAGAGTGCAGATTTCTAGCTGTGCATGTAACAGTTGAATTTTCTGACTATCAAATCAAAATTTTCTGAGTATCAAGAAATGTGCTAGTAAGTATAAATACACACAAAAGCATGTGAAGGTGCTTAAATTGCAGAGCAGATATTCAGCATGCTTTAATTACAAAGTTTTATAAAGTTTCTGGTTTCTAGTGGGGAAAGTGAAGACCACAGGATGACACTTGCACTGACAGCAGCAAAAAATCAGCACTGATTTCAGCAAAACTTGTCACTGAAATGAGACGGCAGAGAGATTTTCAGTGACAGCCTTGCCTTGGATCCTGTTCCTCAGGTGAGCTTGGAAAATCGTGGTCTGAATTGTTTTTGTTTTGCAAAATAGACCAGAAAGGTGAGCCAGGCAAGGTGCAAGGAGAGGGAACATGAGCACAGCCCGTGCTGGGGGGCTGGAGCTGCAGGGATTTTGGGGGAGCAGAGGATGTGCTGTTTCCCCATCCCTTGGGATGCCCTGGGATCAGGAGAGGGAACATGAGCACAGCCCATGCTGTGGTTGGACTGGAGCTGCAGGGATTTTGGGGGAGCAGGGGCTGGGGCTGGAGCTGCAGGGCTGGAGGGGAGCAGGGGCTGGAGCTGCAGGGATTTTGGGGGAGCAGAGGATGTGCTGCTTCCCCATCCCTTGGGATGCCATGGGATCAGGAGAGGGAACACAGCCTGTACTGGGGGCTGGAGCTGCAGAGATTTTGGGGGAGCAGGGGCTGGAGCTGCAGGGATGGAGGGAAGCAGAGGATGTGCTGCTTCCCCATCCCCTGGGATGCCCTGGGGTCAGGAAAGGGAACACAGCCCGTGCTGGGGGGCTGGAGCTGCAGGGATTTTGTGGGAGCAGGGCCTGGAGCTGCAGGGATTTTTGGGGGAGCAGGGGCTGGGGCTGCAGGGATATTGGGGGAGCAGGGGCTGGGACTGCAGGGATGGAGGGGAGCAGGGGCTGCAGATCCCAGGGGCTGCAGATCCCAGAGGATGCTGATCCCAGGGGATGCTGATCCCAGTGAATGCTGTTTCCCCATGCCCTGGGATGCCCCTGGGATGCCCCAGGACCCCTCAGACCCCACAGGCAGGAGCACCCTGGGGGGCTGGGGCTGTACTCACCCCTCAGGTCCTGGTGCCTCCTCCAGCGCGAGCCGCCGCAGGTGAACACCACGGCTCTGATGAAGTCTCTCCCACAGAGCCTCACCTTGTTCCCTTCCCCTTCCCCTCCCCGGGCCAGCAGCAGCAGCAGAGCGAGGCAGCCCAGAGCCAGCACCGTGCCCCTCATGGTGCCAGCGTGGCCAGGGCAGCAGGGACCAGCTGGGGAATTCTGCTGGGCCTTCCCATTTATACCGACTCCACTCCCCTGGGTTCCAGCTCACTCTGAGGGTGGCAATGTTTGCTAAAAACAAATAAACTGCTTGTTTCTGGTCATCTTTGAAGTGCTTCAGGATCTGTCAGGGATGAAAGATTTCGGAAGTGTACGTAGGTGCTTTATGGGATCCGAGGTGTAACAGTTTATGGGGTATGGCTTAGGTGGATGCAGGTAAGGTGTGTCCTGCCAGAGCAAAAGGCTGTTTGAGATGGGATTTGTCCTCAGGGGGTTTGGTGTCTGTGTTCCCCACCCAGCCTGATGCCCAGGCCTGACTGGGGTCTTTTTGTGTCAGCGATCCCAAAAAAAATGGAATGAACTCCTTCCCATGATGTCTGCATTGTGCACCTCTTCATGCCCCTGCCTTGGTCACTGCTAACTGGGCTCACTGGGGAAACCAAGCAGTGCTGGGAAAATCCACTCCAGAGGGCTTTGTGCCACATGTTGGTATCCCAGCCAGGAGTCCCAGTGTGCCAAGAGACAGGACATGATCCTGCAGCACATGGAGCTGATTCTGCTCTGGGAGCAGAGGTTGGTTCTGAGTTATTGGTTCCTAACGTTGGCTTCAGTGTATTTACATTTCCATTAAAAAATCCTTGCAATAAAATGCCCCTAGGAGGAAATGGCTCAATTATATGGTCAGAAATTCCATGTTTAAGGACAAAATACAAGAGGAACTTTGGAGATCTTGAGGCCTTCCTAGCACCACAAAGATTTTCCAGCACCATAAAGTTACAGGTAATTGATTTTCACTGCGTGCAGGGTGGGTTATGATGTGTTACAGAAAGCTTGTTTTTTAGCAGTAAGCAAACAGTCATGGGCATGAATGGAAAACACAGGGCGTATTTTGGTTGGATTTACAACAGTGATTAACAAATGATTCACCTTAACGAGTGTCTTTCCTTGAAATGCACCAAGATGAATTTTATGTCAGGGGGAAGTTTGCGTGTCCCGTCAGATGTGCAGCACACAGAAGGAAGTGGATGTTAATGCAGCACAAATGATCCTTAATTCGGTGATGTGTTTGAGTGCTGGGTGTTTATTGTCAGGATAATGAGAGGCTGCATGTTCTGCATCTATAAAATACACGTTTCCATACGTAATGTGCTCAGCAGCTTATGCTTAATCACTCCTCTGGACATTCTCCCTGTTTCCTGTGGGCAGGAAGTGCCTGGAAATCCTCCAGCTGGGGATTTTTTTTCTGTTTCTTCTGCTCTGCCCCCCAAAAAAGCCACCCTAGGCAGCCAAACACTGCCTGCTTTCAGCCCAAGGAGAAAAATCCTTGGGGGAAAAGGATAAAGGGATAAAGACCCAAGGAGAAAAGACTGCAGAGACTTTTCCATGATCAGGATTCCAGAGAAGGCCCCATGCATGAGCACTGATGGTGCAGTGAGGGGACTTCCAGGAGGAAATGGAGGCCGTTTGAAAGAAGTTTCTGAGCAGTGCGGTTTCAAAGAGAAATTTTATTGATTAAAAAAGATAACAAGTTTATGTTCATACTACAGCAAGGGTTTCCTGGAGGAGAAGGGATATCAGCTACTGTTAAACAGCACCAGCAGGAGCAACGATGTCACACAAGGAACCAACCTGGAAAACAAGAGGAAAATGAGCTGATTCTTCCGTGGAATTCTGTTAAATGCTGGAAAAAAGCACTTTTTGGCAGGCCAGGTTGGGTTGCATTTGTGCTGTCGTATTTGACAGCATGCAAACATTTATCTTGTTTATAAATGAAATTAATTTCCAGCGGTGTGGCAGCAGAAGAGCAGGAACCACCACCTTTTAAGCGGGTGCTGGAATTGTGATCCCACCTATTGCAGTATTCCCTAGGTGTGGGAACCCAGAGCTTCCCTCTGGCTGCCCTGGGACCGTGGCTGGGGTCAGGAACCCCCCTGGACAGAGCCCCCAGAGACACTGGCTGTGATCTCTGCCCATGGAAAAGAGTTTTCAATCTTACAGGATGAATTACAAGCTCTGAGGGTTTGATATGAGCAATAATTAAGTGTGACACAGGTGCAAAAGTAAAATTTTAGGATTCTAGATTAGGGGTTCAGAGGGGACAAGATGGAGGAAATTTGGTGTGCCTTGTCCTTTTTCTCCTTCTTCATGCCCTCCATGTTTCACTGTGGTGTTGGCATTTTTCTGTTGGTTCAGGCTGGGGACACACTGTCCAACGTAGGTGACAGATATTGGCACGTTATTGTAAATCCAGCACAGGTAGTTTGTGGTATTTAATGTTTGTACCATCCCACTGAGGGCAGAGCCCCACACGCTGCCCTGCAGGACAGAGCTGCGGCAGGGCAGCAGAACATGTTAGAGATAAACAGAATAAACCACCTTGAAACCAGCACAGACCAATTATGGCTTCTGCTTTGGCAGCGGGGCTGACAGACAGAGACTTTCTACAACCTCAGGGTCATTTAAATAGCACAGATTCCGACACCTGGGTGGGTGTTTCCCAGGATTGCCTTGCCCCTGAGCACAGCCCTACCTGCTGGGTGCTGGGGACAGCCAGGCCCTGCAGCTGCCACACCCCGACCTGGCCACAGCTGTCCCCCAGCAGCAGGCACTCGGCGTTCCTGGCAAACAGGAGGCAGCTGAGCTTCCCTTCAGGGCTGGCAGCACAGGAGAGCACGGGCTGGAAGCTGCAAGCCAAGAGTTCATGGGTACCATGCATTTATCAGCTGAAAGGCTGCACAGTTCATTTGCTGTCTTCTAGGTTATCTCAGAAATTGGGAAGTGTTTGGTTTTGGCTCTGCCAGGAGAAAAATCCCAGCTGCTGTTAACTAAGATATCCTGCTTGCCTAAAATCTTGTCCTGACCTGGAAAGTGGTGGTTAATATTTTTATTAGATGAATAATTTGTAGGGTTTTGCAGGGCTCTGGATCTAGCAGGGCTTCACAGTGCCAGTAACACAAAACCCAGAGCAGCTGGACAAGGTCACAGGTAACTCTCATCTCAACTTCAGACCATCCAATCTTTACCAAAGTTGCTCAGGTTTGGTTTTATTCCTTCTAACTCTGCCACGATTTCTGCAGAAAAAGGGCAGATTTACACTTTATCAGCTCCATGAGGCACCCAGCTCCTTCTCTTCTCACCCCAAATCTCTGGTGACCACCATCTGCTTTTACACACCAGAATCACAGAATCAGAATCACAGAATAATGAGGTTGGAAGAGACCTCTAAGATCATCAAGTCCCACCTATGCCCTGACACCACAACTAGACCATAGCACCAAGTGCCAAGTCCAGTCTTTTCTTAAACATATCCAGAGATGGTGATTCCACCGCCTCCCTAGGAAGACAATTTCAGTATTTTATTATTCTTTCAGTGAAAATTTTTTTCCTAATATCCAACCTAAACCTTCCCTGATGTAGCTGAGGCTGTGATGAATATTTCAAAATGCAACGGTTTGAGCAAGCCGATGTGGAGTTGTAATGATCTGATAAAAACACAGGTGAGGTAACAGTGTGTGACAATTAAATTTCAGAGTCTTCCTTGAGAAGAGTCTTACTCACATGCTGACACTCAGATCCCAAATCTCCACCCTCTTCTCATTCACTGCTGCGAAGACGAGGGCTGATTGTGGAGCCCACTTGATGTCGTGAACAAAAGCTGTGACAGAAGTGAAGGTGAGCAGGGGGCTGAGGGAATCCCGGTGCCACAAAAGGATGCTCCAGTCTGCAGAGCAGCTCAGGAACATGTCTGTGCTGGAGGGATTCCAGGCAACTTTGTACACGGGGCCCTGTTTGGAGAGAAAACAGAACTTGGTGCCGCTGCAGAGCTACAGAATCTCTTCTAGAGCTACCCAGCCTTTCTCCCACAGGTGAGACTATTTACAGGACAATCAGATTGCTGTCTTAAAACAAAGCCACAGCTAAAGCTTTAAAACAGTTTCCAGTACCAGTTTTAATAAATTACTTGTAAAAATCCTGACAGCATAGAAAGTAATCCTGTAAGACTGTGATGCTTTATGCTATGGGAATTCATTCCCAATATAAGAGAAGAAGTTTAGGTTTGTTTTATTGCAGGTGTTCACTAAATATAAGCAAAGATTACATTTTTGAGTTGAGCAGTTCCTGCTGTCCTTGTTCACAGTGTCACTCACCTTATGGCCTCTGTATGTCCCCAGAATCTGCTCCTTGCCTGAGCAAGAGCAGCAGTAGATGTGGCCCTCTTCTGTTCCAGCAAGAAAAACGTCAGGATCCTGAAAGAAAGGGAAAAGTAGCCTAGGCTGGATGAATTTATCACTCCTGCAGAAATCATCCAGGGCTGGAGGAGTTCAGCTCCAAGGAGGAGCTCCTGTGAGTGGTGGGAAAATGGAACCACAACGTTACACATCTGCTGGGTGTGTTCTCCAGCAATGCACAACGTGCTGGGGTTTGACTCCTGAAAATCTTGGATTTTCAGCAATCCATGTAGAAAAATCAAGAATTATTCAAGAGCTTGGCGGAGGAAGGACTCGGCTGGATGAAGAGAAGCTCAGCAGAGCTGAGTGGGAGGTGTTGGACAAATTCTCCCAGCCTTGGCCATCACGCAGAGGGGAACTACCCCGAGGCCTGCCCAAGGAAATGTGAGTAACGTGGCTGGGAGTAATGCCTGAAGTTTGAGCTTTTCTATTTTCCAGACTCTGCACTGCATTGGTATATAACTCTGAACTTCATATAAAGTGTTAGCAGTTCAGTCAGACAGAACAGTCCTTTTCCAGCCCAGAACCAAGGACACCGCTGCAGCTTCAGGCCCAAAAAGTGCAAACAACAGGGAATGGAGGAGAGCAACCTGGGAGGGTGGGACTGCATCACCTGGAGCTGGAATTGAACAATTAACCCAAATAAATGGACCAAAACTTATAAAAGTGTGAAAACTCGTGACTCAGAGTCCATCTTGGTGTAGAGCCTTGGCCAGACTCTTGCATTGCCCGCGGTGTAGCCTTTGAAGGGCCTTTAATAAAATCCCTTTGATAAATAAATATTCCTTTAGCTCTGCCCAGCCTCTGCTCCAGGCAGCTTCTCTAAGCATCAGGAGGACATCATTGTTTTACCATTTCACCCATTTGGGGTAAATCTTAGTAGCTAGAAAGCAATTTATTTCAAAATAGACATGCTTTAACTAGCAGCACCAAGCCCCTGGCTTGCTCCCAGTAAAGCAGCTCCAGCTGAGCATCCCACCTCTGCTGCAGAGTTTTCCTGGCTAATGCTCCAGCCAGGCTGGGCTTTCTGAGCCTACCTCTGGGTGGAAGTCGAAGCACATGCCAGCTGCCTGTCGTGATATGGGACCTTCACTTTTCCTTTCTCTCCCACCTGGTAAGTTTTTCTTCCCACTTTCTGTTCGCTTGATTTTCATCACATCTGTGCAAAGAGCAGGAGGTTTTGTCAACCAGGACTGAGGAACTCGTGCTGCTTTGGGATGCCCAGCAGCTCTGAAATGTTTTGTGGGATTGCTGGTGTAAAGGATGCCAGCTGGAGTCAAAGAGAGCAGTTTCAGGTGCTCACCAGTGCAATCCAGTCTCTGCTGAATGAACCACTGGGTCATTCTCCCATCTCCTGAGATGCACATCAGTCTCTCTCCTTTGTCACCTGCTGCTGCACTTCTGTCCTGTTCCACCCACCTCAGCTGCCACACAGGACCTTTGTGTTTGTTTAGGGATGCACTGGGACAGAAAAGATACACGTGGTAAATCAGGGATGAGCAAAGATAAGACAACATGTTTGAAAAATAATTAAGCTTCCACTTTGTGATGAGTGTTAAGTCTTATAACAGAAATGTTTAGCTTTTCTTTTTAAAAAACGGTCTGAACATTGGTTGTTTTCTCCAGGACAATGTTTTCTTATTGAACATGTTTGATAATTAGTTTCAGGGCACTGCTTACGTGCTTGCACTATGAAATCAGTCTGCACCTTGCAGGAGAGACCTGGGGAGCTGTCCCTAGGGCAGGTGCCTTCCTCATCACCCACCCATCCCCTCTCTCATTTTCTTCTTAATTCCTGCTCACCCCCCACTTTTGCTGATATTCTCTCCAGTTTTAGCAAGAGGGATGTCCTGGCTTGTAAGATAAGCATGGATTCTATTGCCATCTGTTGGAGGTTGGGCAGTTTTCTTATCTCTTCCAAGAACAATGTCTCCCTCTGGAGAGATATCTTCTGTTAATGGTCATGAGTGCTAAAGTGACATCAGCCCATGGTGAGATGCTCTGCCCAGAGGGAGGAGCCAAGCACCCCTACCTGCATAAAATCAGCATTTTTGGGACACCAGGGCAGCCCTTTGCTGAATTCCCAGAGGAGCAGCTTCTTCTCTGCTGGATTCCAGGAGGAAACCAGGCCCAGCTACTCCATCACCAGACCTCCAGAGAAAACTCCACCCTTCTCCAGATCCCCGCTCCAGCAGCATTTCATCTGCCACTCCAGGAGGAGCAGCCACCATTTAACTGGACTATCACCAACACCCTGACTCCTCAGGGTGTCAGGTTTCTGACTCTATTTCGTTTATACTAATTAAATTTTTTATTATTTTTTTTAATTTAGTTTTTTTCCTAGTAAAGAACTGTTATTCCCATTCCCATCTCTTTGCCTGAGAGCCTTTTAATTTTGAAATTGTAGTAATTTGGAGGGAAGAGGTTTACCTTTTCCATTTGTGAAAAACGCCAATCACTTGATTTTTAAAAATTTTAAAAGTTTAATAATAATAAAATTGTTATAAAAATAATAATACAATTAGAGTAATAAAGTTTAGAGTTAGGATAATTACAAGATAATAAAAAGCAAAGAATTACGGACGTCTGGATGCTTTTGGACACTAAGTCACAAAAAGCATCCCTTGTGAACAAAGGAATAACCTTAAACCAATACACTTGTATATTTATACATTCTTCATGGTTATGAAGAATGTATAAATATACAATATTCTAAACAAGAAACTCTGTCTGTTGTACGTTAACTGTTTCTTTTAATCCCCATGGTGTCTTTGAGTCTGAGCAAGGCCTGAAGAAATCAGCTTCTTCTAATAAGAAGCCATAAATTCCTCTCCTTTGGAAAATTTAGGTGTTCTTCGAAGTGAGTATCTCATTCTTAAAAAAAAAAAAACAACTTTCCTCACATAGATAGTCTCTATTTTAACATTATCTTGCAACCTAAAACTACATTTAACACACTGCTTAAGAGAATTAATACAGCATAACTTTCTAACATTAGACATATAATATTCATTGTAACATTTGCGAAAAGCCAATCATAAAATGTGCATTTTTCACACATTTCACAGGAGGCTCCTTCCTTCCTTCCCAGACTCTTTTCAAACTAAGGGGATCGGACAGCAAGGCTACCACTGGTGTCCCGTAAGGATTGACTCCGCAGGGCTGGGATGTCCCAGGTAGGACACGGAATATGAATGGTAGGTGGGGGTAAGGAGCTGCAGCTCTGAGAGGCTGAGGGAAAGGCTCAGGGGTGGAGGAGGTGAGTTCCAGCCTGACCTGCTGTCCAGCAGCGCGGCGTCCCCGCGGCTCTGCACGTCGTAGATGGCCACGCGCCCATCGGTCGTGCCCACCGCCAGCAGGTTTGGGCTGGCCAGGGAGAAATCCACAGCGGTGACGCCGTGCTCGCAGCGGAAAATACGCTCTGGCCACTGCTCAGGAGAGAGAGAAACACAGCAAACTTCTCAGCTGGGTGGTTATTTACCTCTGTCTTAGCGCTGGGCACTCAGTGTCTGCTGGAAAGCTCGAGCGATGGTGGCCACAGTGTGGCTCTCAGATTCAGTCAAAGAAAGAAACTGAGAATTTCTAGCCAGGCAAAAGCCTGGGAAAGAGTGAAAATAATGTAAATAATTCTTTATCTCTCTTGTTTTTCACATTGTTTATAGTTAAGTTCTGTCACTGTGCATCAAACACTGTACACCAAAGGTTGAATTGTTTTCACTTCAGGACCAATGGAGTTGGTCCTCATGAAGCTCTGTATAAAAGAGAGGTGTATTTTGGATAAACCAGAGTTTTACTCTCAGCAGCCTTCTGAATCAGAGTCTTCTCATTCCCATCCTGCCTCGACAGTGACAGCCACAGGGACCAGAAATGATTCTACGTTCTGACTGGCACCATGTATTTCTTGCTACAGCTGATAAAAAGATAAAGATTGGGTGGAAATATGACACTGGAAAATAAGTTAGGTGAAGCTACTCCATATATAAAATATATAAAAATATCTCTGGTGACAGGAGGGAATCAGAAGAGTATCTGCTGTGGTAATGATACATCAAAGATTTGACTCTGCCTGGTTTAAATTAATCTAATGCAGTTTTGGCCAAGAGAAGTTTGTAGCAGAAATCAAACTGGAATGTTGTAATTCATGGCAATCAGAATTTTTTATTGGCACCCTTTGTAACTGAGATTTCCAAATATTGTTTTTAATGGCTGCTTTTAAAAGGATCCCTTTTCAGATGGATCTGCAGAGGTGTAAATATTACAGCTATGAAATCTCCTCTTTTATTGACAGTGTTGTGAGAAGTTAGAGTAAATAATTGTAGCTAAAAGGGAAATAAAGCAAAAATTGTCCAGAGAAAAGCAGATTGCAGGAAAAGCAAACAAAAGGGCTCGTTACCATGGGGTTCTTCAGTGACCAACAGCAAGCCAGGCCTTTCTTCTGACCCCGAGAAACAAACTCCCTGTAACCAACTGCCAAGAGATCCTGCAAGCACACAGCAACAGTAAGAGCTCAGCAGACATTTCCAAAAGCACCTTTGTGTCAAGGCAAAGTCTGGAATAACAAAATTTCTGTACTATGCAGGAGATACATTGTTCTATAATCATATTTTAATGTGCATTATTTAATTGAGTCCTTCTAATTTTCCCTCGCGGGGTTAGGTGCAAAAGGAGCTTCAGAGAGCACCTCAGACTCCTGGCTTTTAGCTTTCCACAGTCCAGTGAATTCCCTTCACTCCTTTCCACAGGCAGAAGTAAAAAAACCTTTAGCCTTCAGCTCCAGTAATTTTTCTTTTCTTGCACTCAACAAGTAGTTTGAGAGTTATATACCAAGCAGTTTGTGCATTTTAAAAGCAGCTGATTGTTTGCCATGTATTCTAAGACTGAAGTCTCTAAATGTGTCTAACTTTTTACTATCTGGACATTTGGTGCACTAAAAGCATGAAATGGTCTTTATTTTCTCTCTTTTTTTTTTTTTTTTTTTTCCCCTCACTGGATTTCTGTTTCTCATCCTCAACTGCTTTCTACCTCTTTTCCATTAATTATTTTTGTTTAATAAGTGACTTCTGTTGGGAAAACTGAGCTTTACATGACCAGATTTAGGAAGCTTTGCCTTCTGTGCTGTTATTCTGCATCTCATCCTTAAATTTTGAAGAATTCTGCTTTTTTGGGAGGTTCCTGTTGGAGAGAAAGATGTGGTGTCTAAACTACCACAAATAAACTCCATCAATGATAACAAAGTTCAGCAGCAGGGGTTAAATTTTAATTTTAGAACAGACCAAGTCTATGAACACTGCTGCTTGGAGCAATTAATGAAATTCTGGGCCAATTAAAGCTGTGATGACCCACGTGTAGGGAAAGCCAATAGATCAAAGCAGCAAGAGGGAGGGACTGGATCCATCTTTGGGATGCAGCCCTGGATCAGGAGTTTATTGCCACCAGCAGCTGCTGCTCCCAGTTTGTGGCCAGCTCAGGAATGCTTTGTGGACTCACAGGGTTCACCTTGTTCCAAGCCATGCTGCTCACGCTGTGAGCCCAGGTTAAATCACACTGGTATGACCAGAGCTGCTCCAGCCTGGGGCCTGCCCCCTCTGCTGGGCTCTGAGCTGGCTCTGCTCCTTCCTCCTGCTTCTCCTCCTCATCCTCATCCTCTTCATCTTTGTCTTCTTCCACCTCGGTGTCCGAGGTAACAACAGGTTCTAAAATGTACAGATGCAGAATGTCAGTGGAAATATTTCACTTACCTAATTATAGGTATAATTATATATATATATATATATATATATATATATATATATATATATATAACCTATATTATATAATCTATATTACTATATATAACCTATATTATTATATATAATCTATATTAGGCAACCTATATTATTGCATATAACCTATATTTTTATATGTAACCTATATTAGGTAACCTATATTATTCTATATAACCCATATCATTATATATAACCTATATTATGTAACCCATATCATTATATATAACCCATATCATTATATATAACCCATATCATTATATATAACCCATATTATTATGTATAACCTATATTCTTCTATATAACCCATATTATTATATATAACCTATATTATATAACCTATATTATTACATATAACCTATATTATCACAGGTTATATCTCGCCCTAATTATTCACACCAGAAGAAAACTTTGCCCTTTCAGGAAATATTTTGCAGGGAAAAAAAAATAGAAAATAAGTGAAGATTTGAGGAGTTAAGACATCCTAACTTCTTAAAATGTGACTAAAATTGGCTGGGGACAGAGCAGACAGCTGGATTGGGCTGGAGTGAGCCAGGTCTGCTGCAGGTGGGTTGAGCTACCCAGCCAAAAGTGAGGGATTTCTGTGGAAAATGGGGAATTTCTGGCTGGGAAGAGGGTACTGAGCAAGGAACAAACCTATGAGGACAGGAATCTGCCGATAAACTGCGAGTTTGGGTTGAAAAATGTTCTCCATGAGAATCCTCTCCACGACAACTAAATCCTGCTGCAGCTTTGCTGAAGTTAGGATTGCTTCTGACTGGCATTCCTGCTCCTCGTGGCTCCTGGCAGCAGCAGCACTCTCTGCAAGGGAGATGGAAGAAGGTGAATTTCAGAATTGTGGGATATTCCCAGCTGGAATGGATCCACCAGGATCGTGGAGTCCAACAGGCCCATACTGCCTGAGAAGAGATAAATGCCATAGAAATGCTTTGAATGTGATAAAACTTCACACAGAAGGATCAAGGGGAAAGAATTTTCCTCCACCTGCAAAAAGCAGAGAATTAAAAAAATATATACTTTCACTGTGAATTTTTTCTTCCTGTAATTTTCTTTTCTCATACTTTTATCATCTTATCATCTTTTCTTATTATAATTTCCTTATCTTTTTCAGATACTTCTGGAAGTTTTCACGAATGCTGTTTTGCTTCTCCTTTTTAAAGTGAGTACCAGCAAACCTTGTCCCTGAGTATTCATCTTTATTTGAGGTGATTTCTGATGGCAGTGTGCAGAGAAGTGCAGCCCTGTTCAAGATTCTTTAGTAAACTCTCTTGCAGGTTGCAGGCAGAGTTTTCCATGAATTTTTCCCCACAGATCCCAGGGATGTGGCTGTTTCAGGAGGATGAGAACAGGGCAGAAATGGGAAATGTTACCTGTGGCAGAAGGGACAGGCACAGCCTGACCGTGCTCTTCAGCTGTGGGAGATTTGCTGCTTTTCCTTGCTTTTGGGGTTTTGGGTTCTTCTGTCTCTGCAGGTTCTGCTCCTGAGGCAGGCTGTGGACTCTCCAAATCCCAGGGAGTCACCATCATCCCTGGGAATGAATTTCCTGTCACACAGGGCTCTTGTTTTGGTACATTAATGCAGGGAGCTTCCTGCACCCCAGCTGCTGGGCTGGGCTGTGGAACCACCTCTGCTTCCAAAGGTCTTGATATTTGAACTGATATTTTTCATTTAATGTTTCGATTTCATCTTTTCATTGCCATCTTTTACAAATTTACAGAAAATGTTGCCTGTGCTTAATAAGATTCATTAAAGCAGATAAGATAACTTTAAAGTTCCTCCTCTTGTGTGACTGCTGCAGCTCCATCAGGGATTTTTTTGGGGGTGGCTCCCCTTGAGCAGGACCAGCTCCCACCCAAAACTTGCCTTGATGTGCTCAGGGGCTGGAATGAGCCCTGCTGATGCCACAAAAAAAGTGGCAAATAGCTTTTCAACACAGATTATTATCTACTTTTGGGGTTAATTCCCTCGTTTTCCATACACTGACACAAAGGGGAAGTGTTTGGAACAGCATTCCCCATAATTTTTTTGGCCTCATACACACAAAAATAACATTCTCTGGGGGTGTTAATAACAATTTTATTGCAATGGATTCAGTGTTCCAGCACTAAATTCAAGATTTGGGAGGGGCAGAAAAGGCCAGCACAGCCCACACTGTCCTGCCCACCTCAGAGCTGTGGAGGTGGGAGTAAAAAATCCCTTTTGTCAGGCCCCTGGCCAGGTTTACCTTTCTCTGCCATGGTGATGGTCTCACACTGCACTTCCTTGCTTTTGGCAGCTCCAGAGATGGTTTGCACTATTTTTGCTTCAAAGTACTCACTGCCAATTTTAGCCTCGCAAATCTCTGCATAAATCTTATTCCTCTCCCTGGAAAACAAAGGAAATGCTGGCTGGTGACTCCCTGGGAAAATCTGCCTGGAATCCTCAGTGTCTTTAACAAGGAGCTGATCAGGAGAGGCTTTTCCATGTCTTCAATGTCCTGCTTTTTGGATATTTTAAATATATATATTTTTTTATATATAAAATTATAAAAATTACATTATATAATATTATATATATAAATATATAGTATATATAGTATATATAGTATAATAATATATAATTATATAATAATATAATAATAATTATATATAACAATATAATTATATATAGTATTTATAAAATATAATATATAGCAATATAATACAATATATAGTAATATAATATAAAAATATATAATATGATTATATATATAATATAATATAATATAATATAATATAATATAATATAATATAATATAATATAATATAATATAATATAATATAATATAATATAATATAGATATAATATTATTGATTATATTATATTATATTATATTATATTATATTATATTATATTATATTATATAGATATAATGTAAATATAATATAATGTAAATATAATAATATACTTACATATATGAAATATATTAAAAATATATATTTATATCTATAAATATTGTATATTTTATATAATATTTATATATAAGAATATATATTTATATATAAAATATTATCTATTTTTATATACTATTTTAATATAATTCTTATATATATAAGTATAGAAACTATATATTTATATCAAATTTATTTTAACACTACAGATATAAAATCTATTGAAATATTTGCAACAAGCAGTGACTCACAGGACCCTGGGAGCCTCCTCTGCCTCGGTGGACACCAGGGCAGTTGGCAGGTCCAGCATCCAGAGCGTTTCTGTCTCTGCCAGGAGAATCTCCACCCTCCGCTCCAGCTCTGCCTCTGTCAGGGCTGCCTGCCCCTCCTCCTGCACAGCTGGGAACAAACCACAAACAACAAACAGCTCCTCTGCTGCTCCAAATCCACGGAAAAATTAATTCTGGCAAACCCTGGGCTGGCTCAGGGCCTCACAAATCCAGAATATAGAATTGGAGATACTAAAGCTCTAATTATAGGGGGTGGTTTTTACCAGGCAAGCTCAAAGCTGGGTCTTGTTGAGGTTCTGTCTCATCTAAGCCAGACGTGGTTGTTGATGTGTCGCTTCCATGTGTCCTTCAGGGACAAGAAACAAGCAGAAATTGTCTCAAAAAACTAAAAAAGTGTTCATTTTCTGGAGGTACTTTGTATTTTTATGTCATTTTTTAAAAGTATATTTGCTCCTGGTTGACATCCCAAGCCCTGGGATTGTCCTTTGGAACATCCAGCCTAAGAAACATGGCAAAAAAATCAATCTTTATCTCAGAAATCAGTGTTTGCAATTGTAACTATAAACTGTAAATGATTACAATTATTCCTTACAGCATTTTGATAATGCTCTGGCTCAGGATTTTTCATTTCAAACACCAGTAATTACTTCCCTTCTCTGCATGACTTAATTGAGTTTGTCAGCCCAAAGTCTTTTGCTTTGTTTTTTCCCTCTGTGCTGGATGTTTGTAAATGAAAGTGTAGTGAAACAAAATTTAGGAGTTTTAACTGCAAATTTTTTTTTAAGACCACTTTTGGAGATGGATGCACACAATCACAGACAGGTAACTTGCTTAAATATTATTAAAGCAGAGAATTTTTATTATGTTAAACATATTTTGATAGTTGAACTGATATTTTTAATATTTTAATTTCTCTATTTTATTACTTTGCATAAAAGGTTGTCTGCACTTACTAAATACCACTAAAAGGATGAAACACTTAAAAATACATAATTTACTTTTTATAAAGTACTTATAATGCTTTATTTTTTTATAATAAAACTTCTCTTGCCTGGGTACAGCAGCGTTTGGGTCTGGCTGGAAGAGGGGACGGGGTGTCACATTCTTCCCTTCATCGTCAAAAATCTGGAGAAAAATTGAAATAATCAGGATCATTTCCCTTTGTTCCCAGCCAAGATTAGGGAGGGCACTTGGAAGGGGTTTGCTTTCCTGCAGGATCAGCCCCAGTTTTTTGGGATTCTTTGGGAAAAGCCACATTCCTGTCACTGTCACACCCACCTCTGCTCCTCCCTGTGCCTTTTCCAAGGTGAGCTATTGATCCTGATCCATCCCCTCCAATTAACAGAGCAGCCAAACAAATCAGGTGAGCAATTACACATTTTTAATGTTGGGAATATTTTAGTGATTCCCAGGTTATCTTTGGGGAATATTGTGGATTTTGGGTGGAGACGGGAGCTGCTCCAGCAACAAATCTCAGATTAGAAATGTTAATTATTAGAAATGTTAATTATTAGAAAGGTTAATTATTGTCAGGCTGGGGCTGCCCCATCCCTGTCAGTGTCCAAGACCAGCCTGGAGCAGCCTGGGATGGTGGGAGCTGCCTGCCCTTGGGAATGGGATGGGCTTGGAGGTGCGACCCAACCATTCCAGGCTCCAAGGTCCTTCCTGAAGGTGGATTTGGGGCTTTTCCCACTTTTCCCAAATATGCCCAACCCAACCATTCCGAGGCTTCATGGTTCTTCCCACCTTTCCCAACCCAACCATTCCAGGGTTTCTGAGATTCTACCTGCAAGCAGATTTTGGGCTTTTCCCACCTTTCCCAAGGATGCCCAACCCAACCATTCCAGGCTTCCCACAGGTGGATTTGGGGTTCTTCCCACCTTTCCCAACTCAACCATTCCAGGTTTCTAAGATCCTACATTGCAAGCAGATTTTGGGCTTTTCCCACTTTTCCCAAGTATCCCAAAATGAACCATTCCAGGGCTTTTTGGTTTTTCCTCAGATGGATTTTGAGCTTTTCCCACTTTTTCCAGGGGTGCCCAACCCAAATATTCCAGGCTCCATAGTTCTTCCCACAGATGGATTTTGAGCTTTTCCCACTTTTCCCAACCCAGCTATTCCAGGGCTTTTTGGTTCTTCCTCAGATGGATTTGGAACCTTTCCCAAATGTGCCCATCCCAAACATTCCAGGGCTCCATGGTTCTTCCCACAGGTGGATTTTGGGCTCTTCCCACTTTTCCCAACCAAACCATTCCAGGGCTTTTTGGTTCTTCCTCAGATGGATTTTGGGCTTTTCCCACCTTTCCCAAGGATGTCCAACCCAACCATTCCAGCACTTCCCACAGGTGGATCTGAGGCTCTTCCCACCTTTCCCAAATTGCCCATCCCAAGCATTCCAGAGCTCCATGGTTCTTCCCACAGGTGGATCTGGGGCTCCTCCCACCTTTCCCAAATGTGCCAAATCCAACCATTCCACGGCTTTTTGGTTCTTCCTGCAGGTGGATCTGGGGCTCTTCCCACCTTTCCCAACCCAACCATTCCAGGCTTCCCACCATTCCCAACCCAACCATTCCAGGCTTCGCACAGATGGATTTGGGGCTCTTCCCACCATTCCCAACCCAACCATTCCAGGGCTCTCCTGCCCTTCCCACTTTTCCCAACCCAGCCATTCCAGGCTTCCCACCATTCCCAACCCAACCATTCCAACCCTTCCCAGTTTCCCAGGGCTGCTCCTGGACCATCTCACCTGCAGAGCTCCCTGGCTGCCCACCAGGGCCCCGCTCCCGCTGCCTTTTCCCTGGGAAACTGAGGAAGCCGTGGAAGTTCTCCGGGAACTCGGGGCTTTGGTGGCTCCCGGCCCCGCCCTGGAATCACCACATGGTAATATTTATATTTGGAAATATCAAATTATTACCATTATAAAGGATCTAAACCATTTATAACAGAGGATTTTTACTATTTCTTCAATATTTAATATATAATATATAATCTATTATAATATTTTTAAGGATCCAAACCACCACATGGTAACATTTATATTTATAAATATCAAATTATTACCATTATAAAGGATCTAAACCATTTATAATAAAGGATTTTTATAATTTCTTCTATATTTGGTAATATATAATCTATTATAACATTTTAAAGGATCTAAACCATTTACAATAAAGGATTTTTAACATTTCTTATATATTTTTAATAATTACTTATAATTACCAATTATTTTAAAAGATTTTAACAATTTATTACCATTTATAAGAAAGGATTCTTACTTTTTAAAAAATGTATTATAATTTATTATAAAATACCCATTATTTTAAAGTTTTTTTAACCATTTATAATGTATTATATATTGCCAATTGTTTTAAGGGATTTCAACCTCTTATAATAAAGGATTTTTTCAATTTCTTATTTAACTTATTTTTATTTGTGTATGTATTTTATTAAGTATGTAAAACTATAAGAAAGCATTTTTACAATTTCTTATAGAACATATTATTTATTACCAATTATTTTAAAGGATTTTAACAATTTTTAACTCTTTCTAACAAAGGATTCTTACAATTTCTAATATGTTATAATTTATTATAAAATACCAATTATTATAAAGGATTTTTACAATTTATAAGAAAGGATTTTTATAATCTCTTATATAACTTATTATTTATTACAATTATTTTAAAGGATTTTAACTATTTATAATAAAGGATTCTTACAATTGATTATATATTACCAGTTATTTTAAGGGATTTCAACCTCTTAAAATAAAGGACTCTACTATTTATTTTATCATTTATTACAATTATAATAATTATTATTACAATTTATAACATTGTCAGTTATTTTAAAGGATTTAAACCATTTCTAATAAAGGATTATTATAATTTATTATATAGTGACCATTATTTCAAGGGATGTAAACGACTTCACAATCAATATAATACTATAATAAATAAAATTCGTTTAACATTAATTTATTTATCATAGACTATTCTATATTATGATATATTATAGAATGTAATTTGTTACATATTTTAATTTATTATGTATTACCAATTATTTTAAGGGATGCCAACCATTTATAATACAAGACTGTGGGATTAAAGCCATTTATTGATTATAATTTATTACAATTCATAATTCATTATATGTCCATAATTATTACAAAGGATTTTAACCATATATAAGAAAGGAGTGCAGCCATTTATTATAATTTATTGTGCACAACAATTAATTACGTATTACCAATTATTGTAAAGGATTTCGACCATTTATAGATAGGGCTTTTACAATTTATTTGTTATAAGTACTTATGCCTTATAATGTAATTTATTATATAATGAAATTTATTATAGAATGTAATTTATTATATAATTTATTGTAGAATATAATTTATTACCTATTGCAATTCATTACCTATTGCCCATTAAATTAAATATGTAAAGGATTTATAATAAAGGACTTTTACCACTGATTTATTATGACTTATTGTAGAATATAATTTATTACATATTACAATTCATCCAATGCTACCTTTTATTTTAAGGGATGTAAACAGTTTATAATTCAGAATTTTGGCCGCCTATGTAATTTGTTAAGCATAATTTAACATTACAGAATATAACATTATATATTACAATTTACTATGTATTACTGAGTCTTTAAGGGATGTAATCCATTTATACTAAAGGAACTTTTCCCATTCATTAATTATAATTAATGCTCCATTATAATTGGTTCCGTACTATAATTTATCATTTATTCCGGGGCGTTTTTAAGCCTTTAAAGCTGTTTAATTTCCACAACTTTGAAGCTTTAGGCCCGACCCGCTCCCACTCACGGCGCAGGCCGCGGCCCCGGCATGGCGTCGCACCGTTACCATGACAACACCGCGCAAGACGCTGCGCGGGGATTGGCCGCCAGCAAAGGCGCCGCCGATTGGTGGCGGCGCGGCGCGCGGGCCGCGCTCTGCTGGCGGCCGCAGCCCCGGGCCGTGCCCGGCGCCGGTTCGGGTCCCGCCTCCGCCCGGTGTCACCGAACCGGCGCTGCCCGCGCCCGCCGCCGGCTCGGCCCTGCCGCGGGGGGTTCACCCCTGAGTCAGCAGAGCCGCGCCCGCCCGTTCTTTCGCCCGCCGTGTGAGGGTTGGCGATGCGGCTGCTCGGCGGAGGCGCCGGGCGGGCGTGAGCCGCGGGCTCTGCAGGGACACACGGCCGAGCAGCGTCCCGCCGTGTCCTCGCCGTGACACGCCGCCATGCCCGCCGGGCGCTGCCCCGCGCCGGCCCCGGGACAGCGCTGAGCCGCGCAGGTGAGGCTGCAGGGAGGACACGGTGAATTACCGCTGCTTGTACATCTCCGTGCTGCTTTTGCGGGGCGGTGTTTGGGGTGGTGTGTGTGACCTGGAGCTGTTCTTGTGTCACCCAGGAGCCTCACGCCCAGCAAGAGCCCCCGTTGAGGAGACACCCGCCGCGCCTCTGCGGCTCCCCGCGTGAGTACGGCGGCAGCGGGCCGGAGGGTGTGGGGAGGGGCAGCGCGGGGCCGGGCCGGGCCGGAGGGTGTAGGGAGCAGCGGGGCCGGTGGCGGGTCGGGGACACTCGGGGGCCGTGAGGGGCCGCGGCGAGCGGAGCTCAGCACCGGCGGGGGCGTGGCCTGCGCACGGAATGAGCGCGGAGGGGCGTGGCCTCTGTATGATTGACAGCCGGGGGGCGTGGCTTGTTCATTGAGTGACGCGGAGGGCGTGGCTTGTGCCGAATGACATATATGGGCATGAAGCGCCTCGGCGGGGTGGGGGCGTGGCCTTGCGGTTTGAGTGACAGGCGGGGATTGTGGCATCGGTGACAGGCCAGGGGGCGTGGCCTGCGCGCTGAGTGACAGGTGGGGAGCGGTGTGCGCTTTGATTGACGTGTCAGGAGGCGGCCTTAGGCTTTGAGTGACAGATGGAGCCTTGCCTGTGCACGGAGTGACAGGCAAGGGCGCGGCCAAGTGACAGGAGGCGGCGCGCCTTCTACCCTGACTGACAGAGTGAACCAGCGCTATATAACACACGAGTGGGCGTGGCCTCCCGTTGACTGACAGGTCGCACCAGCGCTATATAAAACGCGAGGGGGCGTGTCCTCCCGTTGACTGACAGGCGCGGTGGGCGTGGCCTCGCCTTGACTGACAGCCGCCGCGCGCGCCCTGCCCGCTTCCCGCGGTGCGCGGTGACGTCGTGCGTAACGTGGCCACGCCCCTCCCGCCCCGCCGCCGCTCCCGGTCCCGTCCCCGCCGCTGCCGCCGCTCCCAGCGGCGCTTCCCGGCGATGTGACCCTTTCCCGGGAATCACCAGCGATCATGGCCGAGGTGAGAGCGGCCGGGGCCCGCCCGGGAACTTGTTGCGCGGCGCCGCAAGTTTGTTGCGGGGAGCGGAGGCCCGCGGGCACCGGGCGGTCCCGCCCGCTCCCCTCAGGGGCCGTTCGGGGCCGTCCCGGGGGCTGAAGGGCCCTGAGGGGAGCGGGCGGGACCGAGCGCGGCGCCTCCCGGCTTTTATAGGAGCGCATATGCGAAAGCGCCGCTTTATTTCCTTTAAATATCTTTTTTTGTAATCGTTAAAACAAAGGGGAATTGCTTAAAAGGTGGCCCGGGAGAGCTTTCTGGTGGAATTCCCATGGAGCGGGGGGGTTATTTGGGGATAATGGGAGTTAGGTTGCGGGATGTAATATGATAATGATAGGGAAATAATGGGGAAATGGAAAAAAAAAGCCTCTTCATGGCAGGGTTGGGTTGGTGGGGGTTGGATTTGCCCGTCCCTGTAGGATCGGCTCTTTCCCTTTCAGGAGGGGAATGGGGGCTGATGAATGGGTATTCCATGAAGTTTTCCTCGAATTATCCCCAGCTCCCCGTCTCGAGGCTGTTTGCTGCTCCAACAGTACTGATAAATGTGTTGGAAACGAAAATTTGAAAAGTGTGCTTTGGCAAAGTAAAATTTGTTGACAGGTGTTACTCCCAGGGCAAGCTGGAAGTGTCAGGATCAGATTTTACAGACGAAGCTTCTCCCCTTGAAATTCCTGAATATATGGGGGTTTTTCCCTTAAATCATTTTCACTTTTCCTTCCAACCCAAACCATTAATAGAGCACTCTTCCTGTTGTTGAGACAACATGTCCTGAGCTAATCTTAGAAGTTCTAAGAACCTGCCTGGGTAGTTTTGTATCTCCAGAGGGAATCACAGATCCCAAAAAATGTGGGTATAAAACCCACTTGTACAAAGCTGGAGACACAGTGGAGCCTTTGCTGCGGGCGTCAGGACGTTTGGCTGGAGTTTTTGTCCATTTTTTCGGGAAGTAACCCCAGATTTGTCCATTTTTGTCCATTTTTTCAGGAATATCGTGTGGCAGTCCAGGTCCCAGGGCAGGGAGATCCTGCCAGGATATGGGGCTGGGCACCTTTGGCTTTGCCCTTGTGGATGTTGTTCCTGTGGCTGAGGCCTCTGCTGGGTGGCAGTCTCGTAGCACACTCAGGGGTTTCATCTTGGCTTTTTTGGGAGGTGAATTCCTCGTCCTGTTTGGGGTGAAGGGTTTGATCCACCTGTGGATGAGTTCAGGAGCAGCGGCGCCTCGAGTTAATCCCCAGGCAACTGTTGCATCTGCATGGAGAAACAGTAATAATTTTTAAAAATTTATACATGGAGAAACAGTAATAATTTTAAAAAATTGATACTCTGATTGAAGGTCCTGGATACAGTTCCCAGCTCAGTTTGTGTCCCTGCCCCTGGCAAAGAGTTGGAACAGGATGGTTTTTAGGGTTCCTTCCAGCCCAAACCATCCCAGGATTTAATGAATTTAGGAAATATGTAGGGAGCAGAGTGGGAATTCTCCTTAGCATGGCATTTCCTCCTAGCCCTGGTGGCAGCCACCAGCCTGGAGGAGCTGCAGATGACCAAAATATGGATGGGAAGGTGGCAGAGTGATGGTGCCTCTTTCCCCTCCTCCTGTCCCGGTGGCAAACCTGGTGCTGAGTGTTCTGAGGGGTGCCCAGGAGCTCACCCTGCCCTCAGGAACAATCCTGGAGTTGTGTTGTGGAGGATCAGCGACAGGCACAGCCCTCCAAGCCCAGTGGAGCCCTGAAACTTGTTGGGTTGCACAGGAAGGCTCTTCAGAAGGCAGGGCTGGAGGCCAGAAAGTGAAACTAAATTCACCAAAAGTGCTGCTTCACTTTTGCAGAAGCTGTTTGAATACAGGACAGACAAAGGAAAAAAAAAAAAAAGATATTTTGAATATATATTAAATTTGGGATTAATAACCTTTGTTAGGGATCTTTTTACTTTTACCTGATTCCTCATATTCCAACATGTCAGAAGTTTGTTCCAGATATAAACTGGAAAGAAAATATCTCTACCTTAAGATCCTGTTACAGTATCCTGTATTAAGCTGCTTAGAGTGGTTTTGGTGGAGGGAATGCTGATACACACAGATTTTCCTCCAAAATAAGTATTTTAATGCCTCCTGAGAAGCAAAGGTTGGGGCTGAAAAGCTTGATTAGCAGCTGAAAGAGAATGGGTTTTGTTAATTCAGCCTTTATAATGTTGGAGTGAAATGTAAGTGAGAGAATGAGATCTTCTGATCCCAAAACTGGAAGAGCTGGGGTCAGACTTTTGTGTTGAACAGGGGCAGCTCAGTACCTGCTGTAATTTCCAGAAGTGCCCAATTCCTGCTGTTCCTTTTGTTCCATGAAGGGATGCACCAGTCAGGTTACTGCAGGATATCACTTGCCAGGATACTGAGCATGCAAAACTAAAGGGAAAAAGATGAGGGTTTGGGGTTTTTTTTTGTCGTTCTTCAGTGAATTAGGAGGAGTAGCAGGGCTGCTGTGTGGGAAAGAGGTGAGGTGGGAGCATTGGAGAGTAAATATCCCTGTTTTTTGGTTGGCATAGCTTGGAATTAACTGCAGGCTGGTTTAGTTCTGGCTTGAGGGAGTCTGACAGGTCCTGAAAGGGGAGATCCTGCTCCTCCTGCTGCTTTTGTGCCACGTCCCTGAGCTTCCCTGAGTTGATCCATCTCTGGCTGAGAACCTAAAAGCTTCCTGCCGGGCAAGCAGGGAAAGATCCCACAGGAGCTGGAGCTGGAATGGGGCAGCAGGACCAGGAGGCTCAGGGGGCCCTTCTGGCTCTGCACAGCTCCTGCCAGGAGGGGACAGCCAGGAGTGTCCCTCTGCTCCAGGAACAGGGACAGGAGGAGAGGGAACGGCCCCAGGCTGGGCCAGGGCAGCTCAGGGTGGATATTTGGGAAAATTCCTTCATGGAAAGGTTCTCCAGCCCTGGCACAGCTGCCCAGGGCAGGGGTGGAGTCCCCATGCCAGGAGGGATTTAAAATCCCTGTGGATGTGGCACTTGGGGACATGAGGTGGCCTTGGCAGTGGTTGGAATGGATGGCTTGGAGATGTTTTCCATCCTACAGGATTCCGTGATTCCCTTCCCCATGGCTGATGCTGGAACAGAATTCCTGTTTTCTCCCAAACCTCCAGCAGGCAGCTGAACAGCTCCTTGTGGTTCTCAGCAGAACCTCTGAGGTTCCTCAATTTTCTCCCTTGCTGAAATAAGAACTTAAAGTTTTGCTTCTGCAGAGTGAATTTCTGGGGGGTTAAAAATCTGGGCTGGCATTTTATGGTGTTGGGAAAGTATGGGAAGGAGCAGGAGCTGTGTTGGAGCAGGACGACTCCTGTGGTGTCAGTGAACAAATAAATGTGCCAACCTAATTTCTTTGGTGCAGTTCAATGTTTTTAAATTTCTGAAAGTTTAGTTGTTTTCAACCAAAAAATCAGTTTATTAACACGGTGTGCTTTAAGAAGTCATCTATAAATTCCTCTTGTCTGGGAAAATTTCCATTTTTCTTAATGTTCTGCTTCTTTCAGCTGAAGAATTTTAAACTTTGGGAATGTCACTGAATTCTTCTTGTTTTCATCTTTTGAACATTACTTTCTGTTTTGGAGCAGCTTCAGGACGGAATGCTGAAGGAATACGTGATAACTGCCCTTAGTAACCTTTTTACTTTCTTAGTGTTTTTATTGAACTAAGGTGTAGTAGGAAGCAGCAGCAAAGTTCACACAGTCACTGATGTGTTTGCTAATTGAGCTGTTTGAACAGTCAGAGTTTTTGAAGAGCTCCTGGATACAGAACAAGGTCAAAATAGATTAAATCTGGGTTTCCTCCAGATCTAAATCACCATTAAAATCGGGGACTGACAGCAGTCAGTCATATTTTTCCTGGTTTGGTCTTAGCTGTAACTAACTGGGGGGTTTTGTGTCATTTTGAGCAGTGTTTGGAGAGTACTGCACTGAAGTATCAGTGAACCTAAAGGAGAGCTGGGAATTCTGGTTTTTCCCTTCCTTGGTGAGGGAATAAACCCCAAAGTGGTTGGTTATAGGCACTGCTTGGATTCCCTCAAGGGAATTGCAGGCAACACAGTGGCACTCTGCCTTTCTAATCTTTAAAAGAGGGTGGCCCTTGAGTTCTTTTGTCATTATAAAAGATATTTTTGAGGATATTTTTACATGTG